CAAATCTGTTTGATTCTGAATATAACTAGTTATACATTATTTCAATAGTTAATTGTCATGTTTTCATTTCTGACACAAGAAAATTACAGTAATAGGACTGTCTTCAGCAACAGTTTTCATTAACTGCTAAGGTTTTCCTTTGGGTTTACTGAACTAAGTTTGAAATGTATTAACAAATGTGTACTTTGTGTGTTTTGTTTGAGGGAAACACCTAAAACACCACTTTTGATGCTAAAAAGCTCAGTGTTCATTCCTGTGAAGGAGACGCCCACTCCCACCCCCACCAATCATCAACCAGCAAATCAGCAGGCCAAACCAAGCCAAACTAAGCCAAACCAGCAGGCCAAACCAAGGCTAAATGCTGCAACTACAGAAGCAATGATGCAAAGGGTCATCCAGAGGTCAGACTCAAATCAACAACTTGACTCTGTGTGTTTTTGGGACATTTTGCAGATTTCCAAAAAATCTGAAAGACTGGATTGACCGAAGACATCACCTTTGTGCAAAGATCTGAGGACAGGAGGTTTCCAGTTTTTGCTGTCGGTTCTAAAGTGTGTGAACAGGACAGAGGCTTCTGGACATGATGGGGCTGTGCTGGATGGGGCTGGACATTGCTGGCTGCAGAAGACATTGGGGTGTGGAGGCGTTTCTACAGCAGGCGTTACTGGACAATAGGCTTTTTGGTGTTGTGTTTAATTTGCTAACCAAAGTTGACACATTTCAAGTTAATACATTTCAGGTGAAAACATTCCAGTTTAATACATTTCAAATGAACGTTTAGTTTAAAAATGTTGATGCTACATTAATTTACATGAGTAAATTGGGTATTTGTGTCTTTTTCATTTCATACACATGAATAATTAGGAATTATGTTTAGTTATTGAGCCATTTTTAATGTCTCAAACAGGGGGGAGATATGGTTTATAGGGGAGTAATTCTATACATATGAAATGATCTCTAAAAAACTTTTTTGAGTTCTTTTTTGTGTGTGTTTCTGTAACCAATGTGATTTTTATAAGACACATGTCAAGAGGGGTCTCTAAGTTGAGTCGACACAACTTGGATTCAAATGTAATACTGTGTTTGTATTAATTTCATTGTGTTCCATCTTTAAGTTGGTTTACTAAACATTGAATGTGATTAATTCTTTTAATGAAAAAAAGGAGGGAATGTTAGAAGAGTTGTTGGATTTTCATTAAAGTGAATTAGAATATATTCAAAGTTTAGATAGTTTTGGGTTAACTTACTGTGTGGTGGGATTGGGCATTCTCCCATCCCCCAGGTAAGCGTGAAAGAGCATAAGTAAACAAGAGCAGAGTAAACAAAGCATGAAGGCAGAAGACATCTGTGTTGTGACAAGAAGACTCCTGACTGATGAGAGGAGATTGGTTTTCTCACCTAGAGTTTGATAGGTCATATTGTCACCAAATGGTCACATGTGTTTCAAATTATCAGGGTATAAGAACAGAGTTCTTGGTCCATTTCTTGGTCACTCTGCTGCTTTCCATCCAGCAGAGACCCAGACTGGTGCAGTCTGTAAAACTTGTCTATTTGTGCTGATGTCCAGATAACCTGTAGTTTTGAACCAGCGGCTGACAACATGTATTAAAGAGATTATGTTGTTGAAATGTGAGTAGTTATTCACATGTACCATGGTCTGAAATGTCAGACTCCTAAAAAGTTTACAATTTTTAAAAGGGCATACATCAACTGTTTCCCACTGGAGAGCTACTATTTCTATATATAAACCAGAGCGAGCTACCCCCTTAAAGGTGGAGAACCCTTCTATAGTACAAGGCCAGGGCAAAAAAGTGTCTGCAGTCAGAGCTCCCTGTTACTTCTATGCTGCCACCAGAGGAAGCACACACTGAACTGTTCTCAATGTGATGTCATAGTAATGTTACAGCGCATTTTCTTGCTTTACTTGGATTTTTTGATCCACTATTTCCTTTATATCTAATGCATGAGGAATAATATTAAAAGGGAGGACTGGGCAGCAGTCGAAGGCGGAGACCTCTGCGACCTGGTCCGCACACACATCTGGCTCTTGGAACGTGGAATGTCATCTCACTGGGGGGGAGGAGTCCGAGCTCGTGGGGGAGGTTGAGAGATACCGACTAGAGATAGCCAGTCTCACCTCCACACACAGCTTGGGAACCCAACTCCTTGATAGGGGTTGGACGCTCCACTTCTTCTGGTGTTTCTCACGGCCATTCTCATTGCCCCACATCTCGGCCACCACTTGTTAGAGTTCTCCCCGGTGAATGAGAGGGTCGCGTCCCTCTACCTGCGGGTTGGTGACAAGTCTCTCACTGTTGTGACGGCCTACGGGCCTAATGGTAGTGCAGAGTACCCGGCCTTCTTGGAGTCCTTGGGAGGGGTACTGGACAGTGCACAGACTGGGGACTCCATTATTCTCCTGGGGGACTACGCCCATGTGGGAAATGTCAGTGACAGAAAGGGGTGATTGGGAAGAACGGCCCGCCTGATCTGAACCCGAGCGGTGTTCAGTTGTTGGACTTCTGTGCTAGTGACAGTTTGTCAGTCACGAACACCGTGTTCGAGCACAAGGTTGTCCACCAGCGCAGGTGGGACCAAGACACACCCGGCCAGAGGTCAATGATAGACTTTGTTGTCATCTGTCCTTCAGCCACGTGTCTTGGACACTCGGGTCAAGAGAGGGGCGCAACTGTCAATCCATCACCACTTAGTCAGGAGTTTGATCCGCTGGCAGGAGAGGAAGCCGGTCAGACCTAGCAGACCCAAGCGTGTAGTGAGGGTCTGCTGGGAACATCTCGCTGAGCCCCCTGTCAGACGGACTTTCAACTCACACCTTCGGGAGAGCTTCTCCCAGGTCCCGGCGAAGGAGGGGGACATTGAGTCTGAGTGGACCATGTTCTCCTCCTCTATCGCAGATGAGGCAGCTCGTAGCTGTGGTCGCAAGTTCTTTGCCAACACTGTGTACGGTGCGGTAGGAGAGCTGCTGACCTCAACTGGGGATATTGTTGGACGGTGGAAGGAATACTTCCAGGTTCTCCTCAATCCCCGCGTCACATCCTCCGTCCCGGAGGCTGAAGCTGAGGATGTTGGGGCGGATACTTACATCTCCCTGGCTGAGGTCACCAAGGTGGTTGGCAGCCTCCTTGGTGGCAAGGCTCCGGGAGTGGATGAGATCCGCCCTGACTATCTAAAGTCTCTGGATGTTGTAGGACTGTCTTGACTGACACGTCTCTGCAGCATCGCATGGCGATCGGGGCGGTACCAATGGAGTGGCAGACCAGGGTGGTGGTCCCTCTATACAAGAAGGGGGACCGGAGGGTGTGTTCCAATTATCGTGGGATCACACTCCTCAGCCTCCCTGGTAAGGTCTACTCCAAGGTACTGGAGAGGAGGCTACGACTGAGCAGTGTGGTTTTCGTCCCGGTCGTGAAACACTGGACCAGCTCTATACTCTCCATTGGATTCTCGAGGGTTCATGGGAGTTCGCCCAGCCTATCCACATGTGCTTTGTGGATTTCGAGAAGGCGTTCAACCGGGGTTCTCCGGGAGTACGGGATCCTCTGCTGAGGGCCGTCCGGTCTCTGTATGACCGGAGCCAGAGCTGCATTCGCATTGCTGGCAGTAAGTCAGACCTGTTCCCGGTGCATGTTGGCCCCCGCCAAAGCACCAGTTCTGTGCACTGTCTTTATGGACAGAATTTCTTGGGTCCGGACTGGGTCCGGTTCGGGGGTCACAGGATTTAATCTCTGCTGTTTGCGGATGATGTTGTCCTGTTGGCTTCAACGAACCAGGACCTGCAACATGCACTGGGACGGTTAGCAGCCAAGTATGAAGTAGCTGTGATGAGAATCAGCACCTCCAAATCCGAGGCTATGGTGCTCGACCGGAAAAAGGTGCCTTGCCCTCTCCACCCACCTGGAGAGGAGTTTAAGTATCTCGTGGAGGAGTTCAAGCCTCTCGGGGTCTTGTTCAGGAGTGAGGGAAGGATGGAGCATGAGATTGACAGGTGGATCGGTACAGCGTGCGCAGTGATGCGGTCCCTATAGGACCGTCGTGGTAAAGAGGGAACTGAGCCGAAAGGCAAGCTCTCTTTACTGAGAGCTCATGACTTCACCTATGGTCATGAGCTTTGGGTAATGACCGAAAGAACAAAATTTGCGGATACAAGCGGCCGAAATGAGCTTCCTCCCTAGAGGGCTGGGCGCTCCCTTAGAGATTGAGGAGCTCAGTCACATGGGAGGAGCTCGGAGTAGAGCCGCTGCTTCGCCAAGTCGAGAGGAACCAGTTGAGACATTTGTTCCGGATGCCTCTTGGATGCCTCCCCGGGGAAGACCCAGGACACGCTGTCTCTCATCTGGTCTGGGAACGCCTTGGGGCCCCCCCCGGACAAGCTGGAGGAAGCGTGTGTGGATAGGGAGTCTGGGCGTCTCTACTTAGACTGCTACCCCCATCACCTGGCAACGCATGAAGTGGAAGAAAATGGATGGATGGATGTCAGACTTCATTGTTCCAGATGTAGTCAGAAACACTCTTGTCCTGCACCTTTTACATCAGCCAATCAAATCATTTGCTGAACGCTGAATAGCATATTACAAAACTGCTTTACTGACATTAACTACAGGTCGTTAGCTGGGAAATTAAAGTCATAGTGCAGACTGAACAAAAACACAACGAAAATCACGAGAAATGGATGAAGTCAGGATAAAAATACATTAAATAAGTACAAAAGTGTATCAAAAATAATTAAAAGTTTGTTCTTTCCACATACACAGTATAATCCAATACGGTTCCAACAAGCGTGTTCGTCGACAGCGCCCGGAGCGCCGGAGACAATCCTGCAGAGGCAAGAAGACGTCGGCTTTAAGACTCTTTGTGCAGAAGGAAACGGAGCAGACGCTGAAGCTGGCCTAAGGTCAGACTTAAATCTTCTCTCTCCACAAACAGCAGCAGGCGACGCTTACAAAATACTCTGTTCCGAGCACAGCCTTTGAGTCTCATTTTTAGTCTGTTCTGTCTGCGCCGTCTTGAACTCGGCAGTCGGGTCGGAGGTTCTGGTTTGATGTGCTGCTGCTATAGTGAGTTGTCCTGCCGTGACCCTGGTGTGTTGTGTTGCTGTGACCCTGGTGTGTTGTCCTGCTGCGGATGAGCATCTGGACAAAGAAAAACAGGGGAAAAGGTGACACCAGAGACAATATAGAGGCTCGTCAGCATTTGCCACATCTGTGATTAGTTCTACCTCAGCAGAACGGTCACTTCGGACACCAGAGACAAGATGGAGGCACGTCAGCATTTTCCGTACCACATGTGTGATTAGATCTACCTCAGCAGAACTGTCACTTTGGTTCAACCAGACCTGCTTCATAAGCAAAATAAACAGCTACACTATCTGTAGGACTCACACACTCCTGATGATGTCACAACTTTTACATGTATTCCACTGGAGCAGTTTGCTTTATTATCATTTAGATCCTTGAATCTTATTTTCAGGTCATTGTTCTTCAGCTAAGATGGTGACTGTGCCTCAGGAAGAGCATAGTTCTTGGGGCCTGATGGTCGTGGAACCCATCCACAACATTTACTCCACCTACTCCCTGCTGTCGTTGTGTCCATGGGTAATACACTTAACCCTAGCCTGGTTTTACCACACCTTAGTACACATTTAATTAATTAATTAATTTAATTCATTCATATTTAATTTCAAGGCTTCTGTTATTTTCTAAAGTATATGAATAAATCAGTTCTGAGGTCTATGAACCAAATCCTGTCTAAAGACATTTTAGATCAATAACAAGACTCCCCTGACCTGAAAACACACAATCAACACTGGGAAACCTAAAAATTAACCTTGATAATCTTCACCTGCTGTAGCACCTTTACATGTAAGACGTGTTATAAATAAAATGCAATATTATTATAACACAAATTATTTGAAGTAGAGTGATTTTAGTGTTTAAGTGCTTGCAGTGTGTGTGTCTGTACTAAGTGTTTTTAGTGTTTGTAGTTGGTAGTGTGTGTGAGTATTGTGTGTGTACCATCTCTACAGGGCGCTCCGATCCACCCGTGGAGGCAGCTGCAGCGGCCATTCCTCCGGTCGCACTGTGCTCCGTTCTTACACTCACACAGCTCTGAGCAGCCTGGGCCAAAACGGTCCGGTATGCACTCTACGACACACATACAGCAGAGGTCAGGATGAGGGTAACTGTAACCCTGGTTTTGTATTCTTGTATAATATTCATGTGGTCTCATCAGCGTCTCGGGATGGATGATCTCGGCAGAGAAGTGCTCACCACCATTTAGGTTTGTGAACAGTATTAGACTACACTATACTTATGAAACTTATGCAGAAAAAGGTGTACATTTCGGGTGTAGATTCAAAGTGCGCAAGATCCAACGTGGGATTTATGAACGTGTGAGATCCGCCCAGATCTGAGCGTACGCAATTGCAGCTGTTCATAGCGTATTTTTGAAAGTCACATCCGTAAATATTCAGAAACCGCCTGTTTCACTCCTTGTTTTTACAAGAGGTCAGCAGGGAAGCTGGCCAAGAATACTGTTTGGAAGCTTCAAAGAGCCTTTGCCACGCACTCCTGAGTTTATTCACGTTTGTTTAACAATAAATATATGCTCTATTATATATATGCGTTTTTTTTTCCCCTAGTGTCCCACTACCCACTGCAGCACTCGTCTCTCTTGAACTTTAGAAGTGAATGAATGAATGTTAATGTATCGGCCTCAGCGGTGGCTCTCATCATTAACCGGGTGAAGCGTCTAAGCGATCTCTGTGAGAGAGAAAGATTTTGGAAAGTGTCCGTGATTTCACAGAGAATCTCTAGATCCAAAACGTCTGAATGACGCGCGCCACATTTGAGCAGTGTTTTGATGGGACCTCTCCTGGCACCTTCTGTGCACTGCCCCAGCGCCAAATGTGCGTGTTCCATTAGAGTTTTTTTTATGTGCAAATTCAAATTTTGAAACATGAAGCTCATTGAAAACGCAGCGTACAATATTGCAAGAGTGGGAACATGTTTATTGTTGTCCAAATCTTGAATTCCATGCGTGTTTTGATGAAGGTTGAGATGAGCGTATACATTTACATACACATCGGTGTATATTTTGTGCGCACTATACGCTCACGTCCAGATTGATAAATGCCGAAAGGTGTAAATATACACCCCGATTTGGCCGTACGCAAGTGCCATACATGAGGGCCAATGGGTAAAAGGTCTACCTTGTCCTGTTGTCCTGAACAGCTGCAAAAAGTACAAATAAATCAAAAGTACTATTGGCATATTTTGTTGAGTCTCGAAACACAATCAGAAATATTCATTCAAGACCACAGCAAAGAAACAAAGTAACAGATAACTGTGAGGTGAAAGCAACATGAAATATTTTGATTGCATACAGTGCATTAAATATCCTTTGGAAATTCCTAAAGCATGCAGGGGTGTCAAACTTATTTTTGGTTGCGGGCCGAATAAAAAATGAAAGGGCTGGTCAGGGGCCAAAAGAATATGCGGGTTTCATTTATTATACTTTTTTATAATATGAAGGTATCTATTTAAATGACTTGTTTCACATTAGTTAGATTGGATATTCTTTTCTGATTAGAAATATTTCAGTTACTGTGGACTGAACCAAAACTGGACCAAATATTGAAGGTAGGAAGATTTTCTACTTCCGGGTGGATCATCAGGTCCTCCCAATCAGGTCCTCCCAATTGTCAATCATTCTGGTGATTCATGCTCGTCAAATAAGACCAGAGAGTTTTGTTCTAAAAGTGGAGAGGGCGGTTCTTTCCTTAGAAAATTCATAACTTTAAGAAGAAACGTAATTGAAGACTTGTAAAAAACATAGCATAATACTAACTTATAATTACATGTTGGCTTAACATCTCTTATGGAATTAAATTTTATGGTTGTTTTCTTGAGAAAAATAGTAATGGATAACATGCCATTATCGCCTAATACCATCAATGCAGCTATTTAATATAATAATTTAAAATAATCTCAGGGGCCACTGGAAATTTATGAAACTTGGGTACTGCGCTGCGTAATTACGTATTGGTATTTGTTTTGCCTCATTCACCTCTGGCAAAGCAATGTATTTTTTCATTAGTTTTGTGCATAAAGCCCCCTAAACGCACCTATGGTCTTGCTCACTCAAAACTGTCTCAGCCACTGCCCTGTCCACATGTAGTAGTTTATAGATAGGATGGCAAAGGGCGTATCTGTCGGAACGGGCCCACAGGCAGTGGCTCTCTTGGGAAGTGCACAGCGGGTGCCACGACAGGTCCCACTGCAAAACTCCTCAAATGTGGTGCGCGTCATTCGTTGACGTTTTGGATCCAGAGTTCCTTTGTAAAATCACGGACACTTCCCAAAAGCTTCTCATAATCATCATCTCTCAGGTGTACAGAGATCGTTCCATTGCATTCACAAGAAGATGCCGCAGACGCTTCACCCGGTTAATGATCAGAGCCACTGCTGAGGCTGAGATATTAATATTCATTCATTCATTCACTCCTAAATTTCACGAGAGAGTGCTGCAGTGGGTCTAAAAACGCATCAGCAACAGCAGCTGCGTACGCTCGGATCTGGGCGGATCTCACACATTCCCACGTTGGATCTTGTGTATTTGGATTATACACCAAAAACATACACCCTTTTCTGCGCAAGTTTCATAAATGAGGGCCATATTGCCCAAACCCTGGGGTATCCAAACTTTTTAGAAGGAGGGTCACTTTAGTTCAGACCATTTACTGTTTTGACCTGATTCTGTTCTGGACTTTAAAATGACTAATACACAACCACTTGAACTGACAGGCCGAACAGGGAGACCACTGATTAGAGATGTGCCCCTGGATGAAAGGCATTGAAAAGCCTCATTCCTGGATCTCCTAATGAAGCAGAGGTCAAAGGTCAAAGGGCTCTCACCAGATTCACACCTGGGGCCTGTCCGTCCTGAGGCACAAAGACATTCCCCGCTCATGGAATCACAGGAACCATCACAGTCACAGTGATGGGAACAGTCCGGACCGAACCTGCCAGGTCTACAGCCTGAGAGACACAGCGAGACATAGACACGAGAGACAGAGACATAGACACGAGAGACAGAGACATAGACACGAGAGACAGAGACACAGACACGAGAGACAGAGACATAGACACGAGAGACAGAGACACAGACACGAGAGACAGAGACATAGACACGAGAGACAGAGACACAGACACGAGAGACAGAGACATAGACACGAGAGACAGAGACATAGACACGAGAGACAGAGACACAGACACGAGAGACAGAGACACAGACACGAGAGACAGAGACACAGACACGAGAGACAGAGACACAGACACGAGAGGCAGAGACACAGACACGAGAGACAGAGACACAGACACGAGAGACAGAGCCACAGGGATATGTGTGAGGCGCACAGAAACGAGACATATACAAATGAATATTAAAATGAAAAACACATCCAGATCCATCAGTAAATCTGTACCTTTGTGACAGCGCTCTCCATGGTAACCGGGTGGACACAGACACCTCCCTGAGACCGGGTCACATGATGCTCCGTTACAGTTACACTGATGTTTACACTGGTCGCCGTGGAAACCAGGGGGACAAGCTGAGGGGGGTGTACAAGATTTAAATGTGAACCAGGAAACCATTCAAATGTGTGTGGGTGTGTGGGTGTGTGCATGCGTGGGTGTGTGGGTGTGTGCGTGTGTGGGTGTGTGCATGCGTGGGTGTGTGGGTGTGTGCGTGCGTGCATGCGTGCATGCATGTGTGCTGTTTAGCACTGTGCTAGGTGTTTGGGTTAGCAACGGGATCTCTGGAAAAAATCAAAACACAATGGGAAAAGGAACTCCACAAAACAGTGGGTGTGGAAGATTGGTTTAATGCCTTAACGCTGGTAAATGACAGCACTGCCTGTAGCCGGCTTAACCTAATTCAATTTAAAATTGTCCACAGACTGTACCTTACCAACCACAAACTTTCAAAAATGTACCCAAATGTAATTGATAGCTGTGACAGGTGCAAAATGTCCCCGGCGAATATGTCCCACATGATATGGTCATGTCCGCATCTCGAGCACTACTGGACCATGAGCTGTAAACATCTGTCAGAGCCCTTAAACATATCACTAACACCATGTACTGAACTAGCAATCTTTGGTATCTCACCTGAGAGCCTAAAGACCCATCAAAAGAGCATTGCATTTGCAACACTACTCGCACGTAGAAGAATTGCTCTAGAATGGAAATCGACAACAGCTCCGAAAGTATCCACATGGCTTAAAGATATGATGATGTTTATTGAGCTCAAAAAGATCAAGTATAACAATAAGTTGTAAACCAGAAAAAAAAATTAAGATTTGGAATAACATTATTTTATATCTATTGAATCTGAGAACATTGTAAGTGATATATTATGTTCATTGTGGACAAACTCTCATCCATGAGTTAGATAAAGATAGTTTTATGAGAGCTTTGATGGCAATGGGGTTACGGTGTGGAGGGTGATGTGTTGGTCAGAGAAACTGGGTTACAGTGTGAAGTGTGTCGGTGAGAGAGACAGAGACAAGAGACACGGAGACACAGAGATACAGGGAAATGTGGGAGGTCCACAGAGGCAGAGTCGGTGAAATGAGGGAGTGGGCTGCTGTGTGTCAGTGTGGTCACTCACTGCGCTCGCACACATGTCCGTAGAACCCTGGTCCACATTCACACGCTCCGGTCGCTCTGTGGCACGAGCCGTTGTTCTGACAGCCACACTCCAGCTCACAGCCGGCTCCAAAGCGGCCCACTGTGCACTCTGTAGGAGAAACAAGACTTCAATTCAAACACAAGTGACGGATTACGGCAGTGATCAATACTCAAATTAAATCTGCAAGAGTCAAGAGAACGTCTGTGACAAAAGCTTTAAGATGTGAGTTGAATGTGTGCACACTTTCTGTGAATGATACAAACTTTATTTCACTTCTCAAACATCCTGTCTCTGTCTCCTATATGCAAGATTTAACTGAAATTTCTAATCCAAACAACCAATGATTTATAAAGGAAAATCGTACAAATGTATAGAGGTGCCCAAACTTTTTCATACCACTGTATTTTCTCTCTCTGGTCCCTCTCTGGTCTCCCTCACTGGTTTCTCTCTCTCTCTGCTCTCTCTCTTTCTCTGGTTTCTCTCACTGGTCACTCTGGTCTCTTTCTTTGGTCACTCTCTCTGGTCGCTCTCTCTGGTCACTCTCTGATTCCTCTCTGGTCTTTCTAACAAAGTAGGCTGGTAAATGTGAGGAAGATGATTGTGATAACTGCTGTGTGCAGTGCATTTGTTGGAGACTCATCCTTGGTGAGAATCATTGACCTGCTTTTATCCTGATTGACACAGTTCTTAATTGGAATCCTCTCTTTGTGAATTAACAGCTGAGAAAATACTAAAAATAGAAATATTGTACTAAAGCAAGGACAAGAGAGAGACCAGAGAGAGAAACCAGAGATGATAAATAACCTCATCCACAACTCCCTGGGGAATGGAGACTTCTGCTCGCGATCGGAAGAGGAGTCTGTTGTCATTGACATTTGAAAAAAAAAAACATCATCATCAATGATTTTAACAATGAGTAGATCCTTAATCTTCTGGGGATGTACACTTCTACTGCTTCACAACCTGGCACCTGTTGGGCAGAGGTTGGGCAGAGGGAGAGAGAGACCAGAGAGACCAGAGTGGGACCGGGGAGTGAGGGTCCTGATACTTTTTTGATAGAGGGTACCTGTTTGGCAGAGGGTCCCGGTCCAGCCCAGGCCACAACTGCAGTCTCCACTCACAGCGTCACACAGAGCCCCATTCCTGCAGAGACAGACCCCAGAGCAGTCTGCCCCGTAGCGACCTGGAAGACACCCTGAGGACCGACACACAGGTACATAAAGCAAACATAATTGTCGTCCCTAGGACCAGGCTGAAGACCAGAGGGGACAGAGCTTTCTCTGTTATAGGGCCAAAGTTGTGGAACCATTTACCTTTGCACATCAGAACTGCACAATCACTCGAGCACTTTAAATCCCTGCTTAAAACGCATCTTTTTTCTTTGGCTTTTACTACCAAGTAGACAGAGACAAATTTTTCGATTTCTTTTTGTATATACATTTCTGTATTTTATGTGTTTTTATTTTATAATTTTTCCTCGCTGTCTGTTCAGCACTTTGGTAAGCCTAGGCTGTTTTAAATGTGCTCTACAAATAAAGATTTGATTGATTGATTGATTGAGTGAGACATGTTTAGTGCATTTGAAATATTAACATTAAAGCTGAGGTACATGACTTTCAAACCAACATACTGAACTTTGTCATAAAACCTGGCTTATTTTTCCACTAGTTTTCACATGCATGGTCCTGCTCTTTTTTCCTGGTCTTAGTCCTTGTCTGCTCTTGTTAGCTGGGAAATGTATGGTAACTTGAGCACTATTCTCTCCTACTTCATACATATCTGTCTGCATTATTAGGATTTTGATTATAGTCTATTCATTGCTATTTGTCCCATTGTCTGTTTCATGGCGCGACGATGGGACGCATCTGTCCTCGTTCTACAACCGGTGAGTGGCCTTGGTCCTCGTTCTGCAGCTTAGGTCCTGGATCTATACCCCATTCGTCCGTGTGGAGCGGATCCCTCTCTCAATGAGGGTCACCCAGAGGTTTATCACTTTTCTCCCACTGGGTGTTAGAGTTTTTCCTTGATTGGAAATTCAATCTTGGCCCATCCCATCCAGGCCGGCCTTGTCACCTCCGGTTTCCCCTTCCACTAAAAACATGCACAATAGATCTGTAATGCGCCTCCTGTACTGGTAAAAATAGTAAAAATTACAAATCATGCTGCTGCTGTGAGCAGTCTGCCCAGACGCGCGCCTCCAGGTGATGCGCGTCACCACGACTCTCCTGCTGCAGATGTCTCCCCCACTCTCTCTCTCATCTCTCCTGATCTCTCTCGTCTAACACACACAAGACAAGGCTTCTCCAACACGTTACTGTCCCGGTGATTAAGGGAGGCTTGAAAATAAATATGTGGGAGGCACTTTTAGCGGAGACTTTGGCGGAAACCGTCTGAAGTTTGCCAGAGAGCACATGGATGATACAGCAGAGGATCGGCAGAATGTCATGTGGTCAGATGAAACCAAAGTAGAACTATTTGGTATAAACTCAACTCGTCGTGTTTGGAGGAAGAAGAATACTGACTTGCATCCCAAGAACATCATACCTACTGTGAAGCACAGGGGTGGAAACATCATGCTTTGGGGCTGTTTTTCTGCTAAGGGGACAGGACGACTGATCCGTGTTAAGGAAAGAATGAATGGGGCCATGTATCGTGAGAGCTTGAGCCAAAACCTCCTTCCATTGAGTTGAATTTCTGTTATTGACCAAATACTTATTTTCCACCATAATTTACAAATAAATTCTTTAAAAATCCTACAATGTGAATTCCAGGATTTTTTTTTAACATTCCGTCTCTCACAGTTGAAGTGTACCTATGATGAAAAGTACAGACCACTGTCATTATTTTAAGTGGGAGAACTTGCACAATTGGTGGCTGACTAAATACTTGTGATTTGTGTTGCTCTGTACATGGGATTTGTGTTGCTCTACATATCAGTCCTCTGGCCCATACTGTCCTCTACACTTCTCCATGGACTATACAGGGACAAATTCAAAAGCCGCTGACCTGCGCGCATGGCCAGTGGACATACAGCCAAGTAATGTTACGCATTCAACGCTTACACGCTGTTAACGCCTACTGTGGAAATTTGCTGTAAAGTGTTACAAAATACACTTTCTGGAGGTAAAAACAGGATCTATTCATGAAACGATAGCAGTTTACAGCACAGACATCTTGTTACTGGCCAATAGACTCCCCACCTTGAGCACAGTCTAGGCCGGTCTTCCCAGGGGGACAGAGACAGCTTCCTGTCACCGGATCGTTTTGGGCTCCAGCCAAACACTGTGACTCCAAGGCACAGTCCAGACCATACCGACCGGAAGGACATGCTGAGGAGTAGAAACACACACAGAGAGAGGTCTGATGAGAGACCAGACAGAGACCAGAGACAAGAACCAGAGAGAGAAACCAGAGTGAGAGAGACCAGAGAGCAACCAGAGAATGAGACCAGAGGGACCAGAGAGAGACCAATATATGTATGATACATGTTTGATATATGTTTAATATATGTCACTCACTGACGTTGCAGTGTGCCCCCATGAAGCCTGCAGTACAGCGGCACTGTCCTGTAGAGGGCGCACAACTTCCTCCATTCTCACACTGACATCTGCGCTCACAGTCAGGTCCGAACGAGCCCTCTGCACAAACTGCGAACCACACAACCCCAGAGACGCATACTGAGACACAGAATCTGAGAGTCACACTAATGCACACACACACTGAGCACGGTCAGGTTCAAACGTTCCGTCTACACAAAATGAGACACACATTCAGACACTATGGAGGACCCGAGCACCAGCCCCTCACTGATCTTCCTGCAGGTGGTAATCTTTATTTATATACCACCTTTCACAGACCAGAATCACAAAGCAGTTTACAATTGTTATTTTCGGGCATTTGTCCTCTCACTGGGAGCGGGGTCACCAGTACAGGTGCCAAACCTATCGTACATGTTTATAGTGGTAGCGGAAACCTGCGAAGACACGGGGAGAACAGGCAAACTCCACTCAGAAAGACCCTGTCCCGACCGGGATTTGAACCCAGGACCTTCTTGCTGAGAGGCGAGAGCGCTGTCCACTCAGCCACCATGACGCCCCTTGTGCAATTTGTTTGCCCAAAGAAGTTTGCCCAATTCTGCATACATTTATTTTCTTCATATTTCTTTTTTATTGGATTTCTGTTTCACGGACATTTGAATTTAGTATTTCACGACGCATTATCTTGCGTCTATTAAAGGGGCGGGTCATAGACTGCAAGGTGAAAGCAATCGCCTCCTTCAGACTGCTCTCCCTTAGTTACAGTCTATTGGTATGATCACTTTCAGTTGGTGGCTGTCGCACATGTTTAACTCATTGCAAAATAAATCCTTTTTCATTATTTTCCTCTCCGTCTGTACCCCCTCTATGATGTATATCTCTAGTGTTGCTGTAGTTTTCTTTAGCCAGCAGGTGGCAGCAGCGTTCTGTGGGTGTCTGGTATTAAAATAGATCCATGGTCTGGTCACTGAGAGTCAGATCAGTCTTGGGTGTAGGTAGAGAGATGCGAAGCGAGGAACGGAAGAAAACTGACAGGAACTAGAGCTGACACATGATCTCTGTTGCTTCAGCTTGTTCTATCACCTGACTCTACAAACTGGATGTTTGAGCATTACCCCTGCTCACAGGGAACTTTTACATCCAGTGCAGTCAACCTACACCAGCCCTATAGATCCATGCAGCAGCCATCCATGCAGCCCATAGACTGTGTACTGTGTTACTCACTGTGTGGAACAATCTAATCACACACACACACACACACACACACACACACGCACACACTTATTCTGTTCCTGGTTTCACAGTCTGGTCTACCAATGGATCTATTATATCTACTCCATAGACTGTAGGTCTATCCGACCTAAGCCTGCGTAGGACCCCAGGAAGGCTTCCTGAATGTGGACACAGTTCATGGGTCAGACCTCCTCACTGTGGGGAATAGAGCGATATCAAGGAGACACATGTGATCTCTGATTATACAACTGAACCAAAAAACATTGTATGATAATAATATATATAAATTATTACCATAATTTGTAGTGTTATTTTAGTGAATATTTGCAGATTGTGACATTTATTTATTTATTATTTTGACATTTTTGCTCCTCCATTGTTACACACACCCCTGAGAGACACACAAATTGTTCAATTGTAACTTGAATTACATTTGTATTTTAAGTTTTCATTTTTGTAATGAGCGAAGATGAAGATATAGAAAGAATAACGAGGACAGAGGAGAGAGAAGAGAGGACTGAGGAAAGAACAGAACTGAGACAAGAGGACTGAGGACAGCGGATTGAAAGGACTCACCCTGGTCACATCTAGGGCCCTGGAACCCTGGGGCGCAGTGACACAGTCCGGACACTGGGTGGCACTGCTGATTTTTCAGTGAGCACTGACACAGCTGGTTGCAGTTCTGACCATATGTCCCAGGGAGACACGCTGGGCACAGGAAGACAAGGTTATCTGTATAGCACAGTTCATGCACAAGGTACTCAAGGTAACACGGAGTACAAAGTACCAAAAAAGAAACAAGTTTACATGTCCTTATGGACAATTGTCCCCCCTGTGGACACTAGAATTACATCCACCCATCCATTTTCTACCCCGTTATCCATTTCTGGGCCAGGGGGGGGTGGCCAGAGATGCCACCCAGTACACACAGCACCAGCCGCTCAGTGATCCTCCTGCAGGTGGTGAGTCCACACGAGCCTTGGTCTTTCAGTGGGGGCTTCAGGCTAAGTGGGGTTAAGTGTCTTGCCCAAGGAAACAACGGAATCCTTCATCAGTTGGAGTCGGAGGAGACGGTCTCATGGTGGGCTCGAACCCACGACCTTCAGGCTCAAAGGCCAATGCTCTACCAACTAAGCCACTGTCGCCCCTAATGGAATTACATGCAAATTGTAAAACAGAAATTGTGCTGACCTACCTACTCAGGGAAACCGCTACTACTCACTAGTCTCTGTGGAAACTACACAAGTTATCTGTGTCCACACATCGAGCTCCCGAGGTCACTGATGATGCTACCCGTAATTTCTTTAAGTCTTTGCTGTTGGCTTTGATTGAGAAATTCACTTCAATGTATTGTGTATAGCCCTAAATCACAACAGCAATTGTCTGAGAGGACCTATAAAGTTGTGAATTCACCAACAACAAGTCAGAGAATCAAACAGTTCAAACACAGGAAGTGCAATAATAACAAACACTTGCAGGACTGTTCGTACGTTTCTCGCAGAAGGTTCCGGTCCATCCGCTGCGACAGGTGCAGGCTCCGTCCACATGATCACACGCAGCGTGATTCTCACACTGACAGCGATGATGACATCCTAGACCAAACATCCCGACTGGACACTCTGAGGAACCAGCAAACATGTCCACTGAGTTACAGACAAATACACGAGTGATTTACAGACATCCTCTTTGGTCTCTCTCTTGTCTGTCTCTTTTCTCTCTCTCTGATCTCGCTCTGGTTTGTCTCTGGTCTCTTTCCAAATATCCAATGTATGCGCGTTAGCAATGAATACATATTTGAGTGGAGTTTGAATGTTCTCCCTGTGTCAGCTAGCTTTCCGCCAGTTCCCCTGCTGTAATTCCCCCTTGACCCCATCCTGGACTCCCTCTCAGTCGGACTTTCGTGATGAAATAAAGGTAAAAGAATAAAATAAATCATTATAAAGACGCACTTGTTCAACTACCTACATTTTAACTAGAAAATGAAATAAATGTTTCCGTATTTTAGAATCCGAAGTCAAGACAATAGCAGTGGTTTTTAACAATAGTTGTTTCAGTCATATTTCTTCAGGTTTAGTGCAGCTGGTGTTGCTAGCCTCATGTTCAAATGTAGGATATGATTTAAATAGATACAGTAATAGTGTATTAATGTGTCTCACTCTGGTCACACTGTTGTCCGGTGAACCCGGCCTCACAGATGCACTGACCGGACACAGCGTCACAGCTGCCCTTTCCATTCTGACACTCACATCTCTGAGCGCAGCCTGCCCCCCAGTGGCCAATGTCACACACTGTAACAGCAGGAAAACACTGAGCTGTCAGTTCACAACATAGAAGGGAACTACATGCTGCAGGAAAAGACTAGATAATTGGTGTCAAGAAAAGATACACAAGTATATACCTGGTAATCTAAACAGAACTGGAGCTCAAAGAGAGAGAGAGATACCAGAGAGAGTGACCAGAGTGAGAGACCAGAGAGAGAGAGACCAGAAGGAGACCAGAGAGAGATTGGTCAATTATTACTGGTCCAATCTTGATTTACAGAGACAATACGGACTAACACACCATAGAAAGAGTTGAAACACAGACAGGATTGTGATTATAGTAATACTATGTTTGTGGAGCACTGCCGAAGCCCACAGCCGTCACCTTTGCTGCAGTCGTGTCCGGTCCAGCCTGGAGCGCAGGAGCAGAGGCCGCTCACCGGATCACAGCTAGCGTCGTTCTCACACACACACTTCATCTGGCAACCGTCACCAAAGCGAGCGCTGGGACAAGCTGCACGAAACACACTGTAATTAATGGTTCTAATGTCCCAGAACTATCTCCTTCATCCTCCATCAGCGAGAGACTAGGTTCCCATGGCCAGACTGTGCTGCTGCTGCAATACGGAACACATGCTTCTCTGATTAAATAGTAAGTAAGTAAGTAATCTTTATTTACAGTATTCGGCCCCCTTGAACCTTTCAACATTTTGCCACATTTCAGGCTTCAAACATAAAGATATAAAATTTAAATTTTTTGTCATGAATCAACAAGTGGGACACAATCGTGAAGTGGAACGAAATTTATTGGATTATTTAAACTTTTTTAACAAATAAAAAACTGAAAAGTTGGGCGTGCAATATTATTCGGCCCCTTTACTTTCAGTGCAGCAAACTCACTCCAGAAGTTCAGTGAGGATCTTTGAATGATCCAATGTTGTCCTAAATGACTGATGATGATAAATAGAATGCACCTGTGTGTAATCAAGACGCCGTATAAATGCACCTGCTCTTTGATAGTCTCAGGGTTCTGTTTAAAGCGCAGAGAGAACCATGAAGACAAAGGAACACACCAGGCAGGTCCGAGATACTGTTGTGGAGAAGTTTAAAGCCGGATTTGGATACAAAAAGATTTCCCAAGCTTTAAACATCTCAAGGAGCACTGTGCAAGCAATTATATTGAAATGGAAGGAGTATCAGACCACTGCAAATCTACCAAGACCCGGCCGTCCCTCCAAACTTTCATCTCAAACAAGGAGAAGACTGATCAGAGATGCATCCAAGAGGCCCATGATCACTCTGGATGAACTGCAGATAACTACAGCTGAGGTGGGAGAGTCTGTCCATAGGACAACAATCAGTCGTGCACTGCACAAATCTGGCCTTTATGGAAGAGTCGCTAGAAGAAAGCCATTTCTCAAAGATATCCATAAAAAGTCTCATTTAAAGTTTGCAACAAGCCACCTGGGAGACACACCAAACATGTGGAAGAAGGTGCTCTGGTCAGATGAAACCAAAATCCAACTTTTTGGCCACAATGCAAAACGATATGTTTGGCGTAAAAGCAACACAGCTCATCACCCTGAACACACCATCCCCACTGTCAAAAATGGTGGTGGCAGCATCATGGTTTGGGCCTGCTTTTCTTCAGCAGGGACAGGGAAGATGGCTAAAATTGATGGAAAGATGGATGGAGCCAAATACAGGACCATTCTGGAAGAAAACCTGTTGGAGTCTGCAAAAGACCTGAGACTGGGACGGAGATTTATCTTCCAACAGGACAATGATCCAAAACATAAAGCCAAATCTACAATGGAATGGTTCACAAATAGAGGTATCCAGGTGTTAGAATGGCCAAGTCAAAGTCCAGACCTGAATCCAATCGAGAATCTGTAGAAAGAGCTGAAGACTGCTGTTCACAAACGCTCTCCATCCAACCTCACTGAGCCTGAGCTGTTTTGCAAGGAAGAATGGGCAAGAATTCCAGTCTCTCGATGTGCAAAACTGATAGACATACCCCAAGCGACTTTCAGCTGTAATTGCAGCAAAAGGTGGCGCTACAAAGTATTAGCGCAAGGGGGCCGAATAATATTGCACGCCCCACTTTTCAGTTTTTTATTTGTTAAAAAGGTTTAAATTATCCAATAAATTTCTTTCCACTTCACGATTCTTTATTTTATTTTTTATTTTTATATCTTTATGTTTGAAGCCTGAAATGTGGCGAAATGTTGAAAGGTTCAAGGGGGCCAAATACTGTACCGCCTTTCACAGACCAGAGTCACAAAGAGGTTTACAATTGTTATTTTTTGGGCATTTGTCCTCTCACTCCACACAGAGATGGGAGCGGGGTCGCCAAACAGGAGGCGCATGCCAGACATATGTACATATTTTTAGTGGTAGGGGAAACCGGAGTACCCGGAGGAAACCTACGCTGCCTTGGATTGTCAAGTTTGTTTTTTCAGATTTATTTGTATTTGTGTTTTCAGACAATAATACAAAAACACAATAACACAAAAAGAGGTTGTGAAGGAGGATGAAAAACAATTGCTAGAAAGTTAGTAAAAATAGTGAAAACTTAAATAAATCTAATCGTGAAATAAGGGTAGCTACAAGGTTTAATCATTGCATCCTTCCATTATTACAGAAGAAGACCATTTTCTCCACTTTCTTATGAAGTCTGGCATCTTTAATCTCAAAGAGTAAGTCAGTTTCTCGAGAAGAAAAATGTTCTAAAAAATGCGCCTGGTTTGCTTCCACATGATCACAGTTTCTCCAATATGTTTGCTGTATTCCAAGCTGCATGTGTCACTCACAATTTTTTCTGGTCCCTCTCACAGTTCTCTTGGGATCTCTCTCACAGTTCTTTCTGGTCTCTCTCACAGTTCTCTCTCAGGTCTCACTCACAGTTCTTTCTGATGTCTCTCAAGGTTCTCTCAGGTCTCTCTCTCAAGTCTCACTCACAGTTCTCACAGAGTTTCCCCGTGAAGTCGGCAGAGCTGACACACGAGCTGTTGTGTTTGTCGCAGGAGCCCCCATTCTGGCAGCGAGGACAGGCGAGCGAGCAACCGGGACCTATTTTCTTCCTTCAAATTTTTTTGAACTGTTCTTCAACAAAACTCGTATTTTACCAAAAGCTGCTGAAGTTGTGAGTTAGCTTGATTGCTAACTATAATCAGATGTTCTGTATCTGATTTCACTGGTGACATAAATACAGTTCAGAAATATTCTATTCACAAAGTACAACCAATAATGATCAACAACAATCTCACTTGTGAAAAGTAATCCCAGAGCCCTGTTTTGAATTGTCCGCCTACTTTGACACGGCACAGTGTTCAGGCATCGCACTGAGCACTACAAGTAGGAGACCGGTCCACGATGGAAGCCGCATTTCTCGTGCCCCAGCAGCCAATGCGCCGTCTACTCCTTTATATGTCTATGTATACACAGATATGTATGGTTCCTATGCTGCTGATTGAGCTTCATTAAAGACATCTAAAGTACCATCCTGTCTCCTGTGTCCTGACTCATGGCAGAGTGGATATCAGAATCAGAACTACACCTATACAGTCCTTTTAACCCTGATATAGTACACTTGAACAGTGTACACAAAACAACCCACTGTACACACACAGCTGCATCAAACACTGTACACAACACAACTCCCATCAACACACACTGTACACATTATGAAAGAGTTAAAGCTGGGGTTCATAACTTTCAAACCACTGAACGATTAACTCATGTCTCTAGTTCCTGGCTCTAAGGCAGTCTTCTTTTACTGGTATTCACACTCAGTATTTTTGGTCTTTCTCTCTCTCTGGTCTCTCTCCCTTTGGTCTCTCTCTCTGGTCTCTGATCATTGGTCTCTCTCTGGTCTCTCTCTGGTCTCTCACCTCCCTCACAGACTCCAGTCGTAGCGTTACATGGAGCTCCGGTGCAGTTACACTTCTCCACACAACCAGCTCCAAAGAACCCTCCAGGACACTCTGAAAGAACACGCAACAAGCACACAATCTGAGAGAGAACACACAACAAACACACAATCTGAGAGAGAACACACAACAAACACACAATCTGAGCGAGAACACACAACAAACACACACCCTGAGAGAACAAACAACAAACACACAATCTGAGAGCGAACACACAACTAACACATACCCTGAGAAAAGAAACAACAAACAAAAACTCTGAGAGAGAACACACAACAAACGCAACATCTGAGTGAGAACAGAAAACACAAACACAATCTGAGAGAGGACACACACAATCTGAAAGAGAACACATAAAAACACATCATCTGAGCAGACACGTACACAATCTGAGAGAACGCACACAATTTTTCCCTTTATTAACATTTATTTATATCATCATATTCGAAATTAACCAAAACTAAATCAAGACTTCTGTTCGTCTGCTGTAACCAGTGTGTTACAGAGATGGAAAACCAAACGCTGTTCTAGTGGCATCACACACCTTGGCTGCAGTCGTCTCCGTGGCGACCAGGGGGGCACCTCTGTTGACATGCTCCGGTCACATGATCACAGGACGCTCCGGTCACATGATCACAGCTGCATTTTCTACCACAGGATGCACCGTAAAACCCAGGGGGACATTCTGCAGCAGAGGAGCACAGGCATCAGAGACAGACCTTGAATATCTGAGTATGAGGAGAGTGAAAAGTCAATCGCCAGGGTTCCACAGACTCAGGCAGACTCAGGACTACTGAGATCTTCAGCCTTGGATCTACAGCCTCAGTCATTGGATTTACAGCCTTTGTCCTGGATTTACAGCCTCTGTCTCAAATCTACAGCCTCAGTCCTGGATCTATAGCCTCAGTCCTGGGTTTCTGAGCGCTTCCTTACCGATGCAAGAGGGTCTAAGAGCTGGGACATTTCTGCACATTAATTAAAATTTCTGGACAGTGGTCATCCCGCTCCTAGGACTAATGGCTCCTATGTGTTTGTTATTATTGCATTTACTCTGGTCGAAAAGTTCTCTGATCTGTTGTGATTATAATACAATACAATACAATACAATTTATTCTTGTATAGCCCTAAGTCACAACAGAAGTCATCTCAGAGGACTTAACAAAACCATTGAAATCACCAACACAGATCAGAGAATCAACAGTTAAAACACATGAAAAATATAAAAAACACATGAAATATATAAAAAAACACATGAAATATATAAAAAACACATGAAATATATAATTTAGGGCGATAGACAAGTACACTGAATAGAAAGTTTTAAAAGTGCGACTATTATGTTGTTTAACAAACAACACAAACAACTATTAAACTGAAAGAGGAAAGTAACATAAGTCCCTATGCTCACCGTCAGAGCAGGAGGGTCCCTGGTATCCCGGTTTGCAGACGCAGGTTCCGTGTTCCCGGTGACACTCCAGGCTGTTCTTCTGCACACACACACACTCCTGAGAGCAGCCGGCTCCAAACGTCCATTTGGGACATGCTGAGGGGAGGAACACTGAGATGATAGGATGTAAAAATAACATTGAGACTGTGGTGTGGCCGCTCATACTCACACAAATGGCAGAAGCGTCCGTACAGCCCTGCGGCGCACAAACACCCTCCATACGTGCGGTGACAGCGGCCATTGTTTGCACAGTGACATTTCTTTTTGCAGTGTTTTCCATAAAAACCCTTTGGACAACCTGGAACAAAGGCACCCAATGTACTGTCCATGTATATAGTATATACTACACCCTTCGTATCAGGTCAGAAATTGAGGAGTAATACAAGACTCAGACTTAAATGTTATCCTTTGTAACTTTTGACCATCTGAGATCCATCAGAATAAAAAAATATAGCGTCTAATGCAGACTTGGTATCCTGGACTTGTCTCTTGTAGATAAACTCCTGTAACAGCTCCTCAATAGTCTCTCCAAGCATACTCTAAAACAACTGCAGTATATAAAAAATGCTGCAGCTCCAGTCCAGACTGGAAACAGTAGAATAGCATCACAATACTCCTTGTCTCAGGTCTCTGTCCTGAATTCCTCTCACTTTAGTCCTGGTCCCAGGTCTCTGTCCGGAAGTCCTCTCACATTAGTCTCCGTCTCAAGTCTCTGTCATGAAGTCCTTTCACATTAGTCCGGGTCTCAGTACGTTTGTTTTAGACTCCGGTTTTAAAACAACAGAACAAACAGAGGGGTGTGGTTAGGTCTAGCTTTTTTTAAAAGATGCATTTCTTCTTTCCCAAAGTACAACATGCAATCACCGTCTTGGCAGAACTCTCCGCTGACCCCTGCTGGACACTTGCAAGTTCCGGTCACAGGGTCACAGCTTGCTCCATTCTTACATTTACAAACAGAGGAGCAGTTGGGCCCGAAGTGTCCCTCAGAGCAGGCTGCAAGGAGGACAGGTTTAACAATGACACATGTGTAACACTAAAGCATGGACTACAGAGAGCAGCTCACAGCGATCACACAAGATCCCCGTCCAGCCGTCCGGACACTCGCAGCCGTCTCTTTGATCGTTACAACTGCCTCCGTTCGAGCAGTCGTCACAGGTCAAGCTGCAGTCGAGACCAAACGTGTCGTCCAGACAAACTGGAAAAACAGCAGAGACAGACCAATATCAGGCCTCTGCACAAATGGTCATCAGAACACACAATTAAGGGGATTGGTTGAGCATGTACAAACGGCATCTGTTTTCCTCAGTATGGGATTAAGGGCATAATTTTTAGGCTAGTTTCAGAGATCATAACGGTTGTCACTCATTGTTTATGGTTGTGTGAAGCCATTTAATTACTCTGCAGACCATGATCAGAAGTATTCAGTTCAAGTCTCCATCCCCTAGTTCTCAATAGCATGAGTTTCCCTTTACCATCTATGACAGCTCTCAGTCATCTCTCTCAGGTCTCTCTCTCTCTCAGGTCTCTCTCTCTTTCTCTGGTCTCCCTCTCTGGTCTCTCTCTGGCTTCTTTCTGGTCTCTCTCCCCCCCTCTTGTCTCTCTCTCTCTTGTCTTTCTCTGGTCTCTCGCAGGTCTCTCTCTGGCCTCTCACTCAGGTCTTTCTCTTGTGTCTCTAAATGGTCTCTCTATATAAATGTAAATGTAAATGTGCACTTTATTGTCCCCGTAGGGAAATTTGTCCTCTGCATTTGACCCATCCTGATGCCATTAAGGCTTACGTCAGGAGCAGTGGTCGCCATTGTACAGCGCCCGGGAACCCATCTCCAGATGTTAATGCTCGGCTTGGTCAGGACTACCGGAGCTGGAGGATTTTTACCTACTGAGCATTTTTTAGTGGTAGGGGAAACCGGAGCACTCGGAGGAAACCTACGCAGACACGGGGAGAACATGCAAACTCCACTCAGAAAGGCCCTGTTACGACCGGGATTCGAACCCAGGACATTCTTGCTGAGACGCGAGAGTGCTATCCACCGTGCCGCCAGCACTCTCTCTCTCTGATCTCTCTCTGGTCTCTCTCTATAACTTCTCACCAAACTTCTCCTCGAGGTTGCTCTCTGCTCGCAAATCTCCCTCGTCGTCTTCGTAGTCATAGTAACGCTCCAGGGGCTGGTTGTAGTCGTGGAGCAGAGTGAGCTGAGGTAGGGGCAGCTCTATGGCTCCGGCTCCGGACAGGGCCTCCAGGCTGTCCTCCAGAGCTGAAACAAGAGACACCGCAAATTATAGAGACCTCATCAAGATTACAGACACCTCATCCAGATTACGATATCTCATCCAGATTACAGAGAACTCATACAGATTACAAAAATCTCATCCAGATTAGACACCTCATGCAGATTATTTACACCTCATCCAGATTACAGAGATCTCATCTATATTACAGAGACCTCATCTAGATTACACACACCTCATGCAGATCACAGACAAAGTAGACTGCCCGAGTCCTGAGGCCACACATACTGTATAATATACTTTCATGAAACAACCTTTGAATCCAAGTCGTCTTTGCAGCTCAACAATAATCACTGGAGGTTGTTTGACTGCAGACCATTCGTGACTTTATTGCAAATTTAGTTCTGAGGAGGGTCTGACTGACCCTGTGGATCTATCTTTCTGTCTCTGTATTTGTGTTTGTCTGTCTGTCTGTGTCTGTTTGTGTGTGTGTCTGTGTACAAGTCTGTCTGTGTGTGTGTCCCTGTCTGTGTCTCTATATCTATCTAGATATACGTTTATATGCGCAATTAATCAGTGTGAACTACTTTACTTTTTTTTTTGCTGAGGCCACTGTTAGTACCGTTAGAAAAACTATAGGAACCACAAATAGGAACCTTCTGATGACCATTTTATTCTACATATAAATAGTAACAAATTGCTGTTTTCAAATCTGCACAGTACTCTGTGAATTTATAAATTTACTGTGTAAATGTATAAGTGTGAATTAGCTTCTGTCAGTGTGGCTACAGTTGTAGAGAAGGAATAATGACATGTGAAACACTAATATGTGTGTCTCCCTGTGTGTGTGTGTGTGTGTGTGTCTCTGTGTGTGTTACCATCACAGCTGCAGCCGTCTCTCCTCAACCTGTATCCCACAGAACAGAAACACTCGTATCCTCCTGGAGAGTTAGTGCAGCCGAGCTGACAGCATGAGGACTGCTCAGAGCACTCATCCACATCTGAGGAAACACACATGAATAACAATATTAATAATAATTAAAGCTGCAAGCGGTGAAACACATGAATAACAATATTAATAATAATTAAAGCTGCAAGCGGTGATAAAAGCCCTCGCCACTCTCGCAGCTGCCAACCTGTTGCGGCATGCAGTGTACTTTCCGATGAATTTGCAGCCTGATCGAACCAGAATTGCGCACGGAAAAGTTCATTGATAGGATTCAGTACTTCCCTAGTGGTCAGTGCTATCCATTTTCTTCTTCCGCTTCATCCGTTGCCGGATCGTGGGGGCAGCAGTCTAAACAGAGACGCCCAGTCTTCCCTAGTCACACACACTTCCACCAGCTTGTCCGGGGGACCCCAAGGCGTTCCCAGGCCAGCTGAGAGACATAGTCCCTCCAGCGAATCCTGGGTCTCCTTTTGGTGGGACTTGGCCGGAACACCTCCCCAGGGAGGCGTGTAGGAGGCATCCGGAACAGATGCCCGAGCCACCTCAACTGGTTCCTCTTGACGTGGAGAAGCAGCGCCTCTACTCCAAGCTCCTCCCGTGTGACTGAGCTCCTCACCCTATCTCTAAGGGAGCGCCCAGCCACTCTGCGGTGGAAGCTCATTTCGACCGCTTGTATCCGCGATCTCGTTCTTTCGGTCATTACCCACAGCTCATGACCATAGGTGAGGGAGGAAACAAAGATTGACCGGTAAAAAGAGAGCTTTGCCTTTCAGCTCAGCTCCCTCTTTACCAGAACGGTCCGATACAGCGACCGCATCACTGCGCACGCTGCACCGATCCGCCTGTCAATCTCACGCTCCATCACTCGTGAACAAGACCCCAAGATACTTGAACTCCTCCACTTGAGGAAGGACCTCTCCACCCACCTGGAGAGGGCAAGGCACCTTTTTCCGGTTGAGCACCATGGCCTCAGATTTGGAGGTGCTGATTCTCATCCCAGCCGTTTCACACTCGGCTGCAAACCGTCCCAGTGTATGTTGCAGGTCCTGGCTTGTTTGAGCCAATAGGAAAACATTGTCTGCAAACAGCAGCGATGAAATCCTGAGGTCCCCGAACCGGACCCCCTCCGGCCCCTGGCTGCCCCTAGAAATTCTGTCCATAAAGATAGTGAACATAACCGGTGACAAAGGGCAGCCATGGCGGAGGCCAACATGCACCGGGAACAGGTCTGACTTATTGCTGGCGATGCGAATGCAGCTCTGACTCCGGACGGCCCTAAGCAGAGGACTCCGGACCCCGTACTCCCAGAGAACTCCCCAAAGGACACCCCGGGGAACCCAGTCAAACGCCTTCTCCAAATCCCATGGCGAAATCCCATGACCCCTCGAGTGTCTGATGGAGAGTATAGAGCTGGTCCGGTGTTCCACGGCCAGGACGAAACCCACACTGCTCCTCCTGTATCCGAGATTCAACCATCAGTTGTAGTCTCCTCTCCTAGTGGTCAGTACCCTCTGCGTAATATAGTATTTTGCTCATACCGATGTAAAGATTTGACTGCACAACTTTAGTGAGGATTGGAAAAGTTTAGGTGGGAAGCCTCCCATAGGTGGCACTCTAGAATCATATTAGGTGTGTATTATGCTCAGGCCATAACCAACTGTTAGTGATGTGAGTTTCAGCTCTTAAGGTCTGAGCCTGTGACCATGAGAGCATAAAACATGGAGAAATTCCCCACCGCCTTGCATGAAAACGGTGAAGAATTTCTAACTTTTTCTTGAGAATGTTATAACTACAATCCATCCAGGTGGAAAAATTACATGGTAGAAGTCTCTGCTATGAAAAATCTGGGACAAGATCGAATTAAAAAACACAACACCTCGAACTTCCTGTAAGTGGCGTTGCTGCACTCCCAGTTGTGCATGACCTTTCCCACCCCTCTTCCCCCACCCCCCCTCCACAATCAAGGATGAGAGAAATATAATTTCAAACCATTCACTTGGTTTGACAAATAAAAAATCTTGAATCTTGAATCTTTTTGTGTTCAGTGCGCCCCCAGTGGTCAGGTGTGGGACTTGTTTAGGTAAAATAATGTTTTACTCAACTCGGTTCAGAGATTACACTCAGTGATTTTCGGGTCGATCGGACCACTAGTACCCTATTACTTTGAGATAGGTGGCGCTGTAGAGTTCATTATATATATTATTTGGGGAAAGTTGCCATTATTTGCATAGACTTTGCTCACGTTTCACACAATTTCTTTGTGTGTTATTCAACGTGTTTACGTCACAAATCTTACGTGCTAAGGGGCGTTCACACCGGACTTAACTTCGGCGTCAAAAGCGTCAGGTTTCCATTGAAAGTGAATGGTGAAGCGCGTCAGGTGAAGCCGAGAGCCCCGGCGTCACTTGACGCGCGTCAAAAGCTTCAAGAGTCGCGCGTACTACGCGCTCACTTGAAGCTTTTGACGCGCGAAACGCTCGCGTATCAAAACAATCCCTTTGACGCCGAAGTTGAGCAAAGCTGAGCTTTTGAAGCTTTGACGCGGGCTTCAACCAATCAGGAGACGAGGAGCAGCAGCAGCAGAGGGTCTGTCTCTGTCATGAAGAGAAGTCATGTATCTGCTGCTGTTGTTTTATTGTCATTATTGTTATTAGTAATATTATTTGTATGAGTAGTAAAATTCTGAGTAACAAAAATCTATTGTACACGTGCTGTGTAGTAAACGTAGTTTATTTAAAATAAGAACAGGCTGACGATGAGTCTGGCTCAGAGCAAGGCAGCTCCGGGCGGGCGAGAGCCGGGGAGAGGCAGGGAGAGGCGAGCGAGAGCCGGGGAGAGGCAGGGAGAGGCGAGCGAGAGCCGTGGGAGAGGCAGGGAGAGGCAGGGGGAGGCAGGGAGAGGCGAGAGCGAGGCGGGGAGAGGCGAGCTCCGGGGTTTGAGAACTCAGACTGGGCGAGTGACATGCGGAAGTACCGCTGAAAGCGAAACTCCTCCGTACGCAGCTCCTGGAGTAAATGACGGAACTCTGCAAACACTGCAGCCTCTCAAGTCTGTGGTGAACCCAGAACATGTTTTGTTGAAGCCCTACAACAACGTTATTTTGCTTTATATAACAAATAAAGGCTCGCTGCTCATTGAAAAATCCACCGCTGTCCTGACTACAGACAACAGAGAAGCTCCTCCCACCGGCGTCAGGCGCGTCACTCGCGTCAAAAGCTTCAAGCACCAAAATGACAAAACTATCCCGGCGTCAGTTGAAGCGCGTCAAAAGCTTTTTGAAGCTTTTGGTCTGAACGCGCCTCTACTGTTTTTTTTTTTTTGACAGGGATAATGTAGTCATACTGCAAGTATGGTCTGCATGCATTGCTAGTGTTTGTAGAACCTTTTGTGGACAATGGAGGACAATGAAGAAGGCACTGGGCAAGGCACAGGAGTTAATAAGAAGCGTCAAAAGTTGTCTAAAGTGTGGGAGCACTTCACACTGAACACTAAAAACTAACACACATTGCTAGCTGATAGCTAGCTAGCATAGCATATCATCATAGCACAAGTTTGATGCTGCAGCACATGACAAGGAAGCATCGAGGGACGACCTGAGACGAGTACCAAGTCAACTTGGTACTGTTTTGGTAAGGCAAGCGTTGTGAAAGTAAAATGTTAATAATTATGATAAAAAGGAGGGGTTTTTCCACTCCCGCAAAGAGTCAAAGCAGCATGGTTGAAAAGTATCAATGTTGCTGCTTGTCGCCTTCAATTAGCCTTTCATTTGTAAACGCAGTGATAAAGCATAAAGGTTTATCACTACCTACATAAGAAATGTATTCTGAATGTTTTTCCTAAATTTTACATTCACTACAATCCTGGTGCCAGCTGGTATTAAACCACTGCACATGTTCATGTACACTTTACATCTGCACATGTGAGCAGCATGAGGGTAGGTTAGGTTAGGTTAGGTTAATTTATTTGTACCCGTGGGTAAATTTGTTTTGGAATTCTGAGAACTAGTCGACACATTAAAACACATTTCAAAGATAAAACATCATACATATAAAATACAAATCTTATAAGTGCTCCACATACTAACAGGATGTGCCTTTGGTACAAAAAACAACTGAAATTTAAGCCACTTGACAGTAACAAAGATAAAAAACCTGTGTCAGGGGCAGTTTGATCCCGACTTGTTCATAAAGGAAAGGGCAGCGGGAACAAAGTTTTTCTTAAAACGGTTCGTGTGGCTCATTGGCATCAAAAACCGACGCCCAGACGGAAGCAATCGAAACTCTGAGTGCAAAGGATGCTCTGAGTCTTTTGCGATGCTTCGTGCCATCCTCTCTAGCTGTCTATCATGCAGAAAGTCCAAACTGGTCTGAGGCTGGCCAATGACTTTACTTGACCACTTGACGAGCTGATTCAAGGCGTTTTTGTTCCTAACAGAAGAGCTCCCGTACCAGGCGACCAGGCAGAAAGCTAGGGTCGCTTTGATGAATGCCCGATAAAACAGTGTCATCACAGTTTTATCTACATGAAAGAAGGACAGTTTCCGAAGACAATACAGTCGTTGGTGGCCCTTTTTACAAACAGCAGCACAGGTATGGGTCAAAGTGACTCAGTGGCCACATGTGGTTCTATATTTCATATTATAATTATTACAGATGCATGACATGTGAGCTCAAGTCAGTGTTTGTTATCCAATATAGGACATATTGAATCTGGAAGGCGTCTGTCAGGAGCAGTGCTCGCCGCAGTAACAGGGACCAGCTCCAGATGTTGATGCCCTTCAGGATCAGAGCTGGATGATTTTATCCATTGTACATGTTTCTAAGATTAAGATGAAGATTAAGAGATACTTTATTTGTTTTTACAAGTTACAGAACATAAGTGAATGTCAAATGAATATTAAGTACAACATAACCCTATACTAAATAAAACCAAATGTATATTTTAAAGCAAAGGATAAAATATTGTTTATAGTGCAAGAAATAGCGGGAGGGAAAAGCATTTGGAAGAAAGAAGCGAGAGTAAATACATTATTATCATTATTATTTGGGCTCATACTTACCCAGACAGGTCCTGAGGTCCTGGTCGAGGCGGTATCCATGTGTACAGGAGCAGGTGGGACCTCCTGGAGAGTGATAGCAGTGATGGGAACAGCCACCATTGTTGTGTTCACAACTGTTTACAATCTCCATCTCTATCCCTACACACACACACACAAACACACACAATCGTGTTGTATTATTTATTTTTTGTATTAATTTCTTATTAAGGTATATCTTATTCTTTGATTATTTGCATAGTAGTGTTTGTTATTATGTCATTATCATTCTCTGTGTTTAATTAAAATTAATTTAACACACATCTGCATACAACTATTTGACTTTTGTTGCTAACAGTCAAACACACAAACAGAGACATGACCCTGGTGGGACAGTACTAGGGTTTAATCCCGGGAAATGGGGTTCCCGGGAAATGTTATGACGGGAAACGGGAAATGAGGGTTAAAAAAAAATTCCAGTGCGCTCCTATTATAGTGCGCGTCTATTGTTGTTCATACATATTTTCTTTACAATCAACATGTATACAGCTGAGAGGATGGCTCATAAATTGTGTTTTTGACAACAAATATGGGTCTTAATCGCGCTCAACCATGGCTTGTAATGTCAACAAGTGAGGCCAGCCTCCGGGTAGTGAGTGCAGAATTTGGCTGCCTCCAATTCCATCAGAAAGCTTCTTTCTTTTTTTCATCTGGTAAGGGCAGCAACAGGTTTGGTTAACATACATATAACACATTTTAAGATAATATAAAATGCAGTTAGGGGAATGTTATGCTTCCAATGACAATATGAATGATAAGGAAGAGAGGTGAAGGGTAAGAAAGAGGATATTAGAAATTGGATGCACCCGGGAGTCGGCTGCAGCTAGCGAAACACAGAGGAGTTTATGGAGGAGGCACCCGTTTTGTTTTACTTACTACGATCAAACTTACTACGATCAAACTATTATCTGGTCTTAAACATGAAACTAGTCTGAACTGAAGTGGTCTGTGCTGTTCATGAATAACACTTGGAAATGTGCTTTTTACGAACTTTTGCGTTTTGTATGAGCAAACAATGCGGGCATGAAACATATTCTGCTGTAGCCAAACAAATTGTGAATAAGCCGCTCTATAGGTCCTGTTGATTTATAAGACAAATATATTGTATATGTACATCTGATTGGGGTGAAGTCAGGGCCTCACCAACCTCACTGCACGTCACTGGATTGCGCAGACATTTAGAATCTCAGCATAGTGAAATTCCTAAAGAACGGACATCAAAAAACCTCTGAAAACGCTAGATGGCTACTTTAGCAAAGCTAGCAAGTAGTGAAACACTAGCGGAGATGGCAGCTCATGATGGATTTACGTTTAATACTGTAGTATACATATTTGAGTGATATCATACATTACTTGGGCTAAAAACAACAACCACAAAAAACAGCTATTTTTGTAGTTGATACATCTCATTTTCGGGAAAAATATTAAACCCTAGACAGTACTGACTGTAGCACTGTTTCAGACAGAGACAGAGAGACAGACAGACCCTGGTGGAGATATGACCCTGGTGGGAGAGTACTGACTGTAACACTGCTTCCCGTCGGCTCCAAGCTCAAACCCTGAGCTGCAGACGCACACAAAGGACCCCTGCGTGTTGTGGCATCCATGAGCACAGCCCGAGGTCACCGTCGCACACTCATCCACGTCTGTAACATCACAAAGAGACACACACACTCAACACATCTGTGACATCATAAACACTTGTCTCATGTCTGTGTCACAAACAAACACAAACATTGAACAGGAGGTCTCCCATCACAGTACTAACCAGGCCCTGCAATGCTTAGCTTCAGAGATATGATGGAATCTCACTTTCACCTGCAGGTGGTGCCACTTTTGCAATTGCTGTTTACCCTTTTGATTTCTTATACCTATTTTACCTTCTTTTATCAGTGTACAGACTAGAAAATTAACCTTACAGAGACGGGAGCTTTACTCATCAGAGTAAACCTGAAGTTTACTCTCAGTTTCCTTCCGATTTTTCAGGTTTTTTCAGACAGAACAAAGTCAGGATATGGTTGGCGTCCGGTGACCTCAGCTGACCATCGTTCCTAAAGTTTGGACATCTTAGAGAATTTACCACAAACTCTAAGATTCTTCTTTACTTGAATTGGAATTGTTTTTGTTGTTTGATTTCACAGGACGATCGTCTCTTGTACTGTTAGCTTTTTATTCCTGTACTTATTATATCTATGTACTTGTCTGGCGCACATGTATTCCAATACGGTTTTACTGCAAATGGCAAAAAAACTGAATCTAAAAGTAGTGACCTCAGGTGATCTCGCACCTAAAGTTTGGGCATAAAATCACCTGCACATGTCTGCCCGTCCTCCATCAGCTGGAACCCCGCTCTGCAGTCACAGAAGGCCTTCCCTCCATCCACGCGACACTCCTGACTGCAGCCGCCATTTTCAATTTCACAGGGGTCCAACACTGCAACACAAACACACACATGACAACACAACTTCACATATGACAACACAAAGATATACAAAAAGACACAAACACACATGTGACAACCTAAACGCACACATGACCACTCAAACCCAATCATAAACGCACAAATGATAACACCAGCGCAAACCCAAACACACATACAAATCAAAACACACACACACACAGACTGACACAAACACAGACACAAACAAACACATACATACCCACACACAAACCCAAACACAATCACAAACACACATACCCACCCACGCATGCACTCACACACACACAGACACACACACACACACACACATACAATCACAAACACACACAAAGCCAAACCCTGCGTGTGAGACTCATTGTTTTATCGCCACTGAGACATGTGTCTGCCCGTTCAGACTAATGAGAGGAGTTCTGTCTCAGCCAATAATTACCTAGAAAAAAGTCCTAAAGACTGTCATTCCGTATGTGTGTATGAATGTAATTTACTGTTTCAAAAGTCAGTGAGCCGAGACGATAAAAAAGTGAGAGAGAGGAGACACAAACATCTTCATAAAACATGAATGAAAGAAAGGGATTAGAAGTTACTGAGTGATATGTTTTGTGCCAGAGAGTTTCTCCTTCTGGTCTCTCCCTTTCTGCTCTCTATCTGGTCTCTCTCTGGTCTCTCTCTTTGGCTTCTCTGTGGTCTCTCTCTGTCTGTCTCTCTCTGGTCGAGAGAGACCAGAGAGAGAGAGAAAGCAAAGGGAGGGGGGAGAGTGAGAGCAGAAAGAGGGAGGAAAGAGAGAGAGCAGACAGGGAGAGAGAGAAAAGAGAGAAGAGAGGGGGTGAGAGAGCAGAGAGGGAGATTGAAGAGAGAAGAGATAGGGGAAGACTGGAAAAAAGAGGAGGAAAGACTCACGTTTACAGTGCTTTCTGTCTTCTGCCAGATTGTAGTGAGGTTTGCAGCGACACCGGAAATGTAGAGCCGACTGTTGGACGCAGTAGTGATCACAGCCGCCGTTACCGAGGGCACAAGAGGGGACCGCTGTGTGGATGAGAGAGAGAGAGACCAAAGAGAGACCAGAAAGACAGAGAGAGGCGGGGAGAGAGAGACCAGAGATAGAGAGATAGATTATCATTGTTACCAATCCCAGGAGCAAGACAGCATGAAATATGTAACCTTGCCTGCAAACTGAATCCTCGCGGTATTTGTGTGTTCACAAACACAGCAGAACAAATCTTGCACCGTTCCCGCCTACACTTTTTGAGGAGAATATCCAGGTGTTCTACCCAATCATGGGCCAGTCTTGAAGTTTAGAGCGGGATATCCGGGTTTGGCGAAAGCAAGCAGTGCCGAGCCAAGGCAAAACAAACATGGCCACCCAGCAGGACGGATGCGTAGCTGAGGCTGAGGCATCTTGAACTCTCTTTTTTCTTAAATCCTTCCAAACTCTGCTTGTTTGGCTCCTGCTGTAACTACCGCGCTGGCTCCACTCTGATCAGAAGCTCTGATTGGTCAGAGCGCGGCCGAGCCCCACTGTGCACATGTACTGTATGAGAGCCACACATGCGTATATGGCGGAACGCATCACTCGTCCACTGCGCAGAACCGGGAGGACCAGACGACGGTCTCCATGGCGGCACATGCGCCACTGAGCACCAGCCATTTAATGCTGGTTTATTATTATTATTATTATGGCCAAGTTATGAATTATGTTCATCAGCTGTGAACTCTTGAAAAATGTTTTGTGATTACAACTCTTTCTGTGGGAGAGCGGAGCCTTAGACAGAAGGGTGACTTAATCCAAGTAGAACAAACACAAAAAGGACAGTGATACAAGCAGTAGAAGCAACAATAGTACAATAATACAATAATAGTTTGGACAATAATGTTTCAAAAATAGCCAAATGCATGAAAAAGTATGGTAATGTCCTTCGGAGTGGTTGATGTAGGGGCTTTTCTGTGTGGAAATGCATGTTATCCTTGTCTGTGTGTGTGTGCGCGTGTGTGTGTGTGTGTGCGTGTGAGTGAGTGAGTGAGTGTGTTTGTGTGTGTCTGCTAGGTCATCTCAGGGCAGGTTGATCTCACGATGTTGAGTCTGAGAGCAGATAAAAACCTGTCTAAGGAGAGTATACGGTCTGTGTTTGGTTGGACCATGATTAAGCACTGTCCCAGAGACAACCAGCTGTTGTGACTGTGCGTGTGTGCGTGTGTGCGTGCGTGCGTGTGTGTGCGCGCGTGCTGTGTGTCTTTTCACAGAAGCGTGTATGTGTATGTGTGCGTTGGTTTGTGGGTCAGTGTGTGTGTCCTCACAGAGACAGGTGTGTGCGTCCACATGGATCCTGAAGCCTGTGTTGCAGACACAGTGGTACGAGCCTCTGGTGTTCACACATCTGTGCTGACAGCCGCCGTTATGAACAAGACACTCATCTATATCTGAGGAGACAGGAAACACACACACACGCACAGAAAGAGATTGACACACAGTTAATAATAATAATAATAATAATAATGCATCGGTTTTATATAGCGCTTTTCTGGACACTCAAAGACGCTTCACATGTGTCATTATTCATTCACTCCATACACGGTGGTGATAAACTACTGCTGTAGCCACAGCTGCCCTGGGGCACACTGACAGAAGCGAGGCAACCAGTATGCGCCATCGGCCCCTCCGACCACCACCAACCATTCACACACACACCAGACTCATTCTAGGCAATGGGGGGTGAAGTGTCTTGCCTAAGGACACAACGGCAGTTTGGCACTTTACAGCCGCAGCCGCCCCACTGTGGCTGGTGTTCCCAGAGGTTAAGTGTCTTGCCAAGGACACAACGACAGTAGTCAGAGGGAGTCGATGGTGAAAGTCTTGAGCGGGGCTTGAACCCACGACCTTCTGGCTCAAAGGCCAAAGCTCTACCAACTGAGCTACTGCCGCCCTACGTTAATACGGTTATTACAGAAGGTTAATGAGGAGACAACAGCAAACAGATTGTGGGTATTAAAGTGATAGTCTGTAACTCGAAATGAATTACAAATTTTAGGAAATGTGTTAAATTGACCTCCTGGCCTTAATTGTTGATATAAAATAAGTCATTTTATTAATTCTAATATTACGGGCAAGTCCCGCCTTCCCTGCTCTTAGCTATAGCTCAGAATCCACGGTGCCGTCGAGGTTAACCAATCGAGGTATGCCAAGGGCTGTCGATCATCGGCGCTGATGCTCGCAGCTGCGCGCATGCGCAGTTGTTTGTTTTTGCGGAGCCTCCGAAACAAGCCTCTATTAGGCTCTGGAACTACATGAAAACTGAAATAAGAATTCTGAACATGCGCGCTGAGGTACTTATGTATATACTGAACCTATTTCCATAATCAGATCCTCTGCAGATGTGTCCTATAATGTGCAATTCATGATAATAGCACTTCCTTGTTTGCCGCGATCGCTTTTTGTGTGCATAAAAACATAATTTTTTCATTAAAACGTTCACAAATAATTCTGAAAACCTCCGTGCATGTGTATTAATAATGTATATTTATAATGTGTTCTCTGATTAACACTTCAAAGTGTTACGGAAACTTAGATGTAGACAAATCAGAAAGGAATGGGCGTCGTTTTTTTTCAAATTAAGTACCTCTCTCTCTCTTTCTGACAAACTCCAGACAATCACTTTAAGAGGACCAGGTCTTTCTTTAGTCCCTCTTGGCCTTGGTTCTATCCAAACCAAGCTGGTACTAAAGTGTTCTAACTGACAATGGATGGGGTACGGTACCAGATAAAAAAGCATAATGGAAACGCAACTAGGTAGAGTGGAGTAGAGTAGAGCAGAGCAGAGTAGAGCAGAGTAGAGAAAAGTAAAGTAGAGTCTGGTCCCCCAGTCTCTCTCTGGTCTCTCTCTCCGGTCTCTCTCTCTCTGGTCTCTCTACAGTATGTGGTCTCTCTTTGTTTTTTGCTTTTTGTTTAGTGTCTCTTTTACTGTATATCTATGTGGTTTATACCTAAATGAGGTTTATTGAGAAACAACTATATTTTTGTTAGAACAAACTTTCTCCCTCAACATCCTGGAGTACGGCTGTTAGGGCACAAGGAGTTTGACAGATGTTCTGCTCCTGCAGCAGCTCGTCTTAATTTCTGTCCTTTGACGTTTGTGCTTGGATCCTTGTGTCGCTCTTGTGCGTGAGCCGCGTTTTGGCGACTGCAACTTTCTGTCAACCTTGAGAAGAAACATTGAATCAAATCAACAAATGCACAAGAGACTTTTCCAAAGAGCTGTGTTCCAAGCGAACAACTCAAGTTTCAGTTTGTAAATATGTTAAAGGACTGACATCAACTTGTGTGTGGCTGTAAACCACAACAGCACTTGTCTCGGTGGACTTTGTTGAGTATTCACCAACTACACATCAGACAATCAAACTGATAAAACACAGGAAATGCAATAATAACAAACACATAGGAGCCATCGGTCCATAGGAAGCGGGATACCACTGTCCAAAATGTTAATAAATGTGATCTAGTCTCTCTGGTCTCTCTTTTGGTGCAGTGTCATAAGATTTATGAATCAAATCTCCAATATATTCTTTAATTAGCATATATTGATGAATTACATTTAGGTTTTTTGCAGTGGGAGAGACAGAGACAGTTAAGAGAGCAGAGACAGCAGAGGCAGTAGACACATAGACAGAGACATAGACACTATAGAGACAACAGAGACAGCCTCAACACTGGATGATTACCCAGTCTGTCCCACGTCAGTCTGATTCAACAGGACAATAAATAAACATAGACGTCCATCCATGTTCCAAAAACACTTAAGTTTTCAGGTTTATTAATTAATTGGCAGGTTGAGAATTCCTCCCACTATACAGCATTTATTCAAAGCTGGTGTTGTATGGAAGATTTTTCGTGTCATCAGATTTTGAATTGTTTTTAGCTTGAATTTTTCCATTTGAAATTTTTAACCCTGAAAAAGCATGTTTGAATATTTTTATCTTTGCATTTCAGTCACTAAAAATTCAGTTTACGAATCTCAATGTGATTAAAATTTCAAAATGACATATTCACCTTCAAAATAAAATACAAATAAAAAATCTATGAAAAAAAAGAGGGATTATTTGTTCCATCAGAAATTTAGAATTTAGAATTTTAAATGGACCTGAATTCATCTATTTGAATGTTTTTAACATCTTGAATATTTTTTTCTGTGAATTTCAGTTACTGATTATCAATTTCATAATGTTAAATTCAACAGTCAAAATTCAACAAGAAAAATACACAACACATCTGGTGTTCTGACAAGTTGTGTGCTCTGTCAGTTGGTCTGCGCATGTGTCATTTTACTGAGGTAAAGACAGGTGTAGCTTTCAGCAGGTCTATCGGTTGATAACATGAATCTAACAGGTTGACACATGATTTCTAATGAATGGATTGTAATGTATCCATGGCTAATAACAAGATGATACTACATTCATTTGATGAGTTAGTCTTTTGAACACTTTGGGTGAATGTCCTTGTTGCAAATCATTATTGTTGTATATTCCTGTTTATTTATTTAGGCTGTGTGTGTTTGTTTTTGTTCATGAAAACCATCACGTTGAACATTTATAGCAACAAAGGACAGTGTTATTGTTGGTAGCGTTACACAGTATTTCAGTCTATCAGGTGCAGCGTTAGTTTCTCGTGTAGCAGTTTCCACGGGGCTCACTCGTGTTACTTGAAAAAGAGCAAACACTCCCACGGGACTCCATGTAAAGGAATTAACAAAAACATGTATTCCACAGCTTGAACTCTTGTACACTAAATGATATTTGCAGAGTTGTCTCTGAAATAAAGTAACAACGGTAAGAAAACCGTATGGCTCCTTATTTCTTCAGCTGCAAAAAGTTACGTGCTCTTTCGGCTCCACTCGCTCCGTAAACAAAGCAAAACCTCTCTCTCTCTCTTAAAGTGACGTTAACGTAAATATTCTGAGTAAACACAATCTCCATTAGTTCTAAAGGGTCTAATGTAGATAATGTAGGGTCAGCTGCCACCCAATTCACAGAGCACTGATCCTACTGATCCTCCTGCTCCTCCTGCTCCTCCTGCTCATCACTGATCCTGCAGGTGGAACTCTGTCGCTGAGAGCACAGCCTTGATCTTTCAGCAGGGGCTTACGTCAAATATTAATAAAACAAATAGCGCTAGATAAGATATTACCAGTTTATAAAAAATATACAAACAAATTGTTTACACTCTATACAGTTGGTGCTACATGCAAAATAGCAAACTAACTAAAGTTAGCTTGGCTCCCACACCCCTATGTTTTCATTTGCAGTTACAATGTATCTAATCCACATCGAAGCAAAGTATAACTTTAACTGTCAGAACGTTAAACTAATATAAATATGTGAAGAGAAAACAGAGTTCATTTGCTTATGAGCAGACCAACTAACAGAGCACACAACTCGTCAGAACACCGGATGTGTCATGTGAATTTTTCACCATTGTATTTTTTCTCGTTGAATTTAACATTATGAAATTAATAATCAGTGACTGAAATTCGCGGAAAAAAATATTCAAGATGTTAAAAACATTCAAATGGATGAATTCAGGTCCATTTAAAATTCAATTTCTGATGGAACAAATAATCCGTCTTTTTTTTTTCATTGACATTTTTTTTTTAATATATTTTGAAGGTCCGTGGTGGCGAGGTGCAGAGAGGACTGGGCAGCAGTCGAAGGCGGAGACCTCGACGACCCAGTCCACACACCCAACATCTGGCTCTTGGGACGTGGAACGTCACCTCACTGGGGGGGAAGGAGCCCGAGCTTGTGGGGGAGGTTGAGCGATACCGACTAGAGATAGTCGGCCTCACCTCCACACACAGCTTGGGCTCTGGAACCCAACTCCTTGAGAGGGGTTGGACGCTCCACTTTTCTGGTGTTTCCCGCGGGGAGAGGCGGCGAGCTGGGGTGGCCATACTCATTGCCCCCCATCTCAGCCGCCACGTGTTGGAGTTCTCCCCGGTGAATGAGAGGGTCGCGTCCCTCCGCCTCCGGGTGGGGGACAAGTCTCTCACTGTTGTGACGGCCTACGGGCCTAACGGTAGTGCAGAGTACCCGGCCTTCTTGGAGTCCTTGGGAGGGGTACTGGACAGTGCACCGCCCGGGGACTCCGTTATTCTCCTGGGGGACTTCAACGCCCATGTGGGAAATGCCAGTGACACTTGGAGAGGGGTGATCGGGAAGAGCGGCCCCCCTGATCTGAACCCGAGCGGTGTTCAGTTGTTGGACTTCTGTGCCAGTCACGGCCTGTCCATCACGAACACCATGTTCGAGCACAAGGGTGTCCATCAGTGCACGTGGCACCAGGACACCCTAGGCCGGAGGTCGATGATCGACTTTGTAGTCGTATCATCTGACCTTCGACCGCGTGTCTCGGACACTCGGGTGAAGAGAGGGGCGGAGCTGTCAACCGATCATCACCTGGTCGTGAGTTGGATCCGCTGGCAGGGCAGGAGGCCGGTCAGACCTGGCAGGCCCAAGCGTGTAGTGAGGGTTTGCTGGGAACGTCTCGCTGAGCCCCCTGTCAGACGGACTTTCAACTCACACCTCCGGGAGAGCTTCTCCCAGGTCCCGGCAGAGGAGGGGGACATCGAGTCCGAGTGGACCATGTTCTCTTCCTCTATCGCCAATGCGGCGGCTCGTAGCTGTGGTCGCAAGGTCTCTGGTGCTGGTCCCGGCGGCAATCCCCGAACCCGGTGGTGGACACCGGCAGTAAGGGATGCCGTCAGGCTGAAGAAGGAGTCCTATCGAGCAATGATGGTTCGTGGGACTCCTGAGGCAGCTGTCCAGTACCGGCAGGCCAAACGTGCCGCGGCCCGGGCTGTTGCAGAGGCAAAAACCCGGGACTGGGAGGAGTTCGGAGAGTCCATGGAGCATGACTATCGGTCGGCCTCGAAGAGGTTCTGGCAAACCGTCCGGCGCCTCAGGAGGGGGAAGCAGTTCTTTGCCAACACCGTGTATGGTGCGGGTGGAGGGCTGCTGACCTCGACTGGGGATATTGTCGGGCGGTGGAAGGAATACTTCGAGGTTCTCCTCAATCCCCCCGTCACGTCCCCCGTCCAGGAGGCAGAGGCTGAGGATGTTGGGGCGGATACTTCCATCTCCCTGGCCGAGGTCACCAAGGTGGTTGGCAGCCTCCATGGTGGCAAGGCGCCGGGAGTGGATGAGATCCGTCCTGACTATCTAAAGTCTCTGGATGTTGTAGGACTGTCTTGGCTGACACGTCTCTGCAACATCGCGTGGCGATCGGGGGCGGTGCCAATGGAGTGGCAGACCGGGGTGGTGGTCCCTCTCTACAAGAAGGGGGACCGGAGGGTGTGTTCCAATTATCGTGGGATCACACTCCTCAGCCTCCCCGGTAAGGTCTACTCCAAGGTACTGGAGAGGAGGCTTCGTCCGATGGTCGAATCTCGGATTCAGGAGGAGCAGTGTGGTTTTCGTCCCGGTCGCGGAACACTGGACCAGCTCTATACTCTCCATCGGATACTCGAGGGTTCATGGGAGTTCGCCCAACCTGTCCACATGTGCTTTGTGGATTTGGAGAAGGCGTTCGACCGCGTTCCCCGGGGTGTCCTTTGGGGGGTCCTCCGGGAGTACGGGGTCCGGGGTCCTCTGCTGAGGGCTGTTCGGTCCCTGTATGACCGGAGCCAGAGCTGTGTTCGCATTGCTGGCAGTAAGTCAGACCTGTTCCCGGTGCATGTTGGCCTCCGCCAAGGCTGCCCTTTGTCACCGGTTCTGTTCACTGTATTTATGGACAGAATCTCTAGGCGCAGCCAGGGGCCGGAGGGGGTCCGGTTCGGGAACCACAGGATTTCATCTCTACTTTTTGCGGATGATGTCGTCCTGCTGGCTCCAACGAACCAGGACCTGCAACATGCACTGGGACGGTTTGCAGCCGAGTGTGAAGCGGCTGGGATGAGAATCAGCACCTCCAAATCCGAGGCCATGGTGCTTGACCGGAAAAAGGTGCCTTGCCCTCTCCAGGTGGGTGGAGAGGTCCTTCCTCAAGTGGAGGAGTTCAAGTATCTCGGGGTCTTGTTCACGAGTGAGGGGAGGATGGAGCGTGAGATTGACAGGCGGATCGGTGCAGCGTGCGCAGTGATGCGGTCTCTGTATCGGACCGTTGTGGTAAAGAGGGAGCTGAGCCGAAAGGCAAAGCTCTCAATTTACCGGTCAATCTTCGTTCCCTCCCTCACCTATGGTCATGAGCTGTGGGTAATGACCGAAAGAACGAGATCGCGGATACAAGCGGTCGAAATGAGCTTCCTCCGCAGAGTGGCTGGGCGCTCCCTTAGAGATAGGGTGAGGAGCTCGGTCACACGGGAGGAGCTCGGAGTAGAGCCGCTGCTTCTCCACGTCGAGAGGAACCAGTTGAGGTGGCTCGGGCATCTGTTCAGGATGCCTCCTGGACGCCTTCCTGGGGAGGTGTTCCGGGCACGTCCCACCGGGAGGAGGCCCCGGGGAAGACCCAGGACACGCTGGAGAGACTATGTCTCTCAGCTGGCCTGGGAACGCCTAGGGGTCCCCCCGGACGAGCTTGAGGAGGTGTGTGTGGATAGGGAAGTCTGGGCGTCTCTGCTTAGACTGCTGCCCCCGCGACCCGGCAACGGATAAAGCGGAAGAAAATGGATGGATGGATGGATATTTTGAAGGTGAATATGTCATTTTGAAATTTTGATCACATTGAAATTTGTAAACTGAATTTCTAGTGACTGAAATGCAAAGATAAAAATATTCAAACATGCTTTTTCAGGGTTAAAAATGTCAAATGTAAATTTTCAAGTAAAAAAATTTCAAAATCTGATGACACAAAAAATCTTCCATAGTGATGACAATTTGGACTCTCTCCGAGGTTCATCATTGGATGTTGTTTATGTTAGAGCTAACCTGTATGAGCAAGTTTTCCTCCTGAAATACTAAATGTTATTCTCTTTTTTGGAAGACCTGTTCTATCGGCGCATTAACAAGCTAACAGCAATCACACTAATCACTTAGGGCAAAAATCTGTTTCTCCCATTATAACAGAAAACAGTCATGTTCATTCATTTATTCCTAATAAATGGAGAAATAGCTAACGTGGTCCCTCCTGGCAGCAGGTGCCTTTGATCCGTACATTTAAACCCACAAAAACAATTGACCAAGTTTTGAAATGCATTGAATGTGGCATTTTCAAACACAAGCTATAACCAGAGATGTCCAACGCAGTAACAACAATCTTCAATTACCTTTATTCTTGTATAGCCCTACATCACAACTGCAGTTATCTCAGAGGACTAGTAAACATTAACCTTATTTAGAGATATCTACATATATTATATATTATTTAGACCAATGTGTGAAATTATTTATTCCCTGTATCTTCTCTGTTGGGATGTGGACAGGTCCAAAGAGGTATCAGTCACTATTTGACTCTTTGGGCTGAGAGCTGATTGGCTGAATGAGGGTGGTCCTCTCTTTTTCACTATTCTGTCGGAAAAACCTGATCTATAGATGTGACAGAGGCCAGAAATACTGTAAATGACATGAAAACTAGACCAAGACCAGGACCGAGACCAAATCCAAATTCAAATCCTAATCCTAATCCTTATCCAAGACCAAGACATAATCGTAACCGTAACCAAGATCAAGGCAAAGACCAAGACTAACACCAAGGACAGGAGAGGACCAGACCACAGACTGTATATATTAACGGACGTAGTCATGCCTATCTCCGCCGTTCTAACTAATGGGCCAAAAATTGGGCTCTCAAGGAGTGATTCAAAATGGCCGCGGGGCTGGAAATGTGAAAAAACGCATCTGCGCATGCGTCAGCCGGCACAAGCGCCATTCATTTAAACAAGTGACTTAAAAAATCGCTTAAAAGCGAGTAAACTAGACTGGTCCAAAAAAATCCACTCCCCTCAGCAATGACACAAATGTGGAATGGAGTTTTGAGCCAGGAGCCAACTTTTGGACCTTCCTGTAAAGGCATTTTGAGAGGTAAGAAGATGCTATGTCTTAGCATTGGCTAATTCTTATTCCGGGTTCACCCCCATCGGCCTGGGGTGGTATTGCAAGCATTCACCGCCCGTCATTTGGCCACTTTTGAGCTGGAACCCGCCCCCACTGGACCAGACCAAGACATGACCAGGACTAAGACCAAGACCCAGTCTGAGACAGAACCAGAACCAAACCAAGATCAAGACTGAGACCAAAACCAAGACAAAACCCTGACTAGGATCAGACCAAGAGCAGGAGCCTGACCTCAAAAGTACATGATGTTAAAACTTGTGAAAACTCTGTTGCATTGTTCTGGTATGAAAGTTATGTACCTGAGCTTTAATTTGCATCACGTAACACTAGTGAAAATAAAACTGCTCACCTGTTTGAGGCTGTCCCCTGTGGTGGATGTGGCGTCCGTAATAACAGTGAGGCTGATAACACAGTCTTCTGTGTTGGTAATAATTGGAAGAAAAAACCAAATGTATCACAAAAAGAATGAGGAGAACAGAAGTCCCCAGAGTGACAGCCATGGATCAGCTTTTTCTGGTCTCTTTCTGGTCTCTCTCTCTCTGGTCACCACTCCTCCATTAGCACACACTTTACTGCACCATCAGAACACACACATCTAGGGTAAGAGAGAATCATCTGATGGAAATCAGAAGTCAACCTGCTCTCTCTGTGACGCCCCATACTGTGTGCCTGCTCTTCCCACAACAGAGGAGCTAGTCTGCTTCTCCTCCTCCTCCTCCCACCAGAGAGAAGTGAGCCTGCTCCTCCTCCTGCTCCTCCTCAGTCTCCGTGTCAGGAGATAATCACAGTCTGTTCAGTCCAGACGAGTCGTGGATCATTATCATCATGTATACTAAATCGCTGTCTCCTTTCTTCTACTACATGATCTCCCTGAGTTTGTGTAAGTTTTCTCCAGGAATCCAACACAGGACCTTCTTAAATGTATGCAAGTCTGGCTTTAAGGATCTTCTAATAAGACACAGAGTAAAGAAGCTAGTACTGCTGAGTGTTAAGACCCAAACATTTGCCAATAAAACCTTCTCTTTGTGTCATTAGGAGAACCATATAAACCCAGGACGTGAGGCAGAAGCACTAACCACTCTCTCGCTCCCAAACATTAAACCATAAATAAGTTTAATGTGAGATATGTTTCTTGTTCGAGCCCCAGAAAAATTCTACAAGATAAAAGTAGATACTCTCACTACCGTCTGTCAGAGACCAACTAAATAAACACTGGATATTTTTTCTACTAGCCATTGCTGTCAGCTTATATGTAAGTAATAAGTGTTTGAGCAGATTTAGATTCAAGCTGAGTTGCACAACAGTTGCTGGTTAGCATGTTCCCCCTCGGCTGGTGCCTGGTAGAGCACCACATTCCTCAACACAAATTGTGCCAAAGAGCTAATTATAGTTGTTTGTGAATGGGATCAAGTCTGAGGATGCAGGGTCCACGAATGAGGCAGTTGCATCGGTCAGTGACCAGGTACCAGGGTGTGTTCACTTCCAGCAGGGATACCTTACTTTCAAACCACATCACATTTAACCTTGCAATTATATTGATCTTGTTTCTGGCTCTCAAAACTGATTGGGTCTGTGTGTGTGTGTGTGTTTGGCCTTTGTCACATAGATCAGCTTTTTATAATCTCTTTCTGGTCTCTTTCGGGTCTCTCTGGTCTCCCTGAGGTCCCCCTGAGACCTCACACACGGAGATAAAAAATCATGGGTCTGACCACTTTGGTAGTACAGTGTGTGGTGCGCAGCCACACGGCAAAATCACGCAAACCACACACATCACACACAAACCAATTTCCAGCCCCGAGCATTCCCAGGTCAGACGGAAATATCACAAAGACCCTTGTCTGTGACCCTTGTCACAGACAAGGGTCACAAAGCAGTTTACAATTGTTATTATTTTTTTGGGCATTTGTCCTCTCTCTCCACACAGAGATGGGAGTGGGGTCGCCAGTACAGTAGGCGCATGCACAGTCCTATTGTACATATTTTTAGTGGTAGGGGAAACCGGAGTACCCGGAGGAAACCTACGCAGACACGGGGAGAACATGCAAACTCCACTCAGAAAGGCCCTGGTCCGACCGGGATTCGAACCCAGGACCTTCTTGCTGAGAGGCGAGAGTGCTATCCACTCAGCCACCGTGCCGCCCTAGTTCAATAGTTCAATAGTTTCCAGTTTGTTTTTAGCAGAGAAAAGACGTAATCAAAAGAAAAGGCGATGGTCAAAGAAGTGTAGACAACGTGAGCATGGACTATACTTGCTACATCGTGACATGTACTGTAGGTGAGTTGTTTTGTTACGCCGTTTCCTCGCCGCCTCGTCACCTTGTCTTCTGATTGGCTACACGCCGCAGTCATGGAAACGCGCTCGTCTGTCCCCGGAGGACACCACACACGAAGAGAAATTGGGCGAAAACAATCATGTTGGATATCCCTGATTTTGAGACCGGAGCAGTCCCGAAGTCCTTCTGAGCGACGAGCGCAGTCTTAAGACACCACACATGGCAGGAAAATCCATCAGATTTTTTTTACGATAATCGGAGCATTCTTAAAGATTGTCGTAGGGGTAAATCGGGTCCAAAATCGGCCTAATTATCCTGCCGTGTGAACCAGGCTTTACTCTGGTCTCTCTCTGGTTTCTCTCCCCTTTCGATACATACATTAAATCACAGATACTGCAGGAATGCAGAGAACTCAAAGCTCCAAAAGTAAATATGGAGATTCCGATCCAAACATCTGAGAGAGGAATGAACCGTGTGGTTAATGAGACGTTCAGAAGCTCAGCAGTGAACGCTCTCACATCTGAGGCCAACGACAACAAAGGCTCCAAGGACACGGTTTACTGAGCGGAGAACCTACAAGTCCAACAGTAATACAGGATTTAATAAAGGAGCAGGATACCGTCATTCCACCAGGATACAGGTATCTGGGGTCGGACATGGTCACATTACCTCAGATCTAATAAAGACTTTCATTAAACTCAAGGTCAGACATCAACTTGAAGCAGTGAGTGTTATTAACAGAAGAAAGAAAAAAGCTTCAAAAACAGATGAGGAAAAATACTGTAGATGTGTCTCATAATTGTTACACCTGTCTGTTCCATTTTCTTTATTATGATCCAGGACATGCCTCTCTCACTCTATGAAAATAGCTGTTAAAGAAGTGTAGATTAGAGTACAGTACAGTACAGTATAGTAGAGATGAATAGAGTAGAGTAGGGCAAAGTAGAGGAGAGGAGACAAGACAAGAGTAGGGCAGGGCAAAGGAGAGTAGAGCAGAGTAGAGGGGAGGAGAGTACAGTAGACCAGAGCAGAGTATAGGAGAGGAGACAAGACAAGAGCAAGGAAGGGCAGAGTATGGCAGAGTAGAATAGAGTCGAGTAGAGTAGAGGAGCATAGAGTAGGGTAAAGGAGAGGAGAGTACAGTAGAGCAGAGTACAGTAGTGTAGAGTAGAGCAGTAGAGGAGAGAACAGTAGTGTACATTAGACTAGAGCAGAGTAGAATAGAGTACAGTAGAGTAGAGTACAGTGCAGGACAGTACAGTACAGTACAGTAGAATAGAGTAGGGTAGAGTAGAGTGGAGTAGAGTAGAACAGAATACAGTAAAGTAGAGTAGGCTGGGGTAGAGTATAGAGTAGAGTTGGGTTGAGCTAGAGTAAGGTACAGTAGAGTAGAGTATTTCATGGTAGCATGTATTTTACAGTTTATTTTACAATCTAATAAGATTCACTTTTTATGTGCCAATACTTGGAAGTGACAGAGAGTGATGGATGCCAGGTGCACCAAGGCAGCTCGCCCAGAGCCTCAAAAACACAGTGGCCTCTCTCTGGTTTCTTTCTCTGGTTTATCTGTATTGTCTCTCTCTCTGCTCTCTCTCTCTCAAGTCTCTCTGGTCTCTCTCTCTCTCTGCTCTCTCTCTGTTTAGGTTTAAAACATAAGGAAAAAGCAAATTACATTGAACTTTCACCATATTCTTTGATAATTTTTTGGGGTTAATCATCTGGTTTTTTCTAAGAAAAATACCAGAATCGTACTGATTAAAAAAGGTAAATTTTGTCTAGAGTTAAAAATGTTTTTTGTGGTTCTTTTGAAAGACAAGTTGTATTGCCTTGTTAACGTGTTTTGGCTGCAAAGCTGCGAGCCATCTTCAGAACTGTCACCCGCCTGGGTGACATGTTAGTTAATGGGTGATGTTACTTCCTGAGGTGGTCAACCTGATTGACCTGACAGGTCGCTCAGACTAACCACGCCCCCTCTCGTCCGCTGGTCTCTGGAGGAGGGTGTCCATGTGTGGAGGAATGCTCCCTCACCCCACTTTCTGATTTCAATTGCCTCTTGGATCCGAAAACAACAAATAGCTGGATCAAGGTGGCGATTGAAATCATTTAGGCTGACCACGCCAACACAGTAAGAAACATCAGCTGATAAATGACACTGTGGTGACAGTTCTGAAGATAGCTCGCAGCTCTACAGCCAAAAGGAGGTACACTGTAAAAAAAAAAAAAAAAAAAAAAAGACTGTCAAATTAACAGAAAAATATTGTAAAATCGCCACACAATATTAATGTTAGTATGAAAAAAATAATTGAATGTTAAAATAATAATAAAAATATATTAATCTGTGAAACAAAAGATTTTTGTTGAAATGACTTTAATAATAATGTGATTATGATTTACTCGTAAAAACAACAAATCACAGAAATAAAAACTTTAAATAAAGGTATGACTTATATTAAAATCATTTAGCTGAAGAGATCCTTTATCCGTCCCACAGGGTGAAAATTTAAATGTTGCAGCGCACATACAGGACAGTAGTAAGAGCACAGAGGGAGCACACAAAATGTACAAAAAAAGTAGCTGCGACGTTTCTTAACTAGCTTTAAATGCATAAAAGATATCTTTCAGGAAAATCTATATGTGTAGTACAAAGTTATATACAGGGTAATAAGTGGATAAAGTGACATTCAGTGGACATTCTGAAGTTGCATTATAGCTTATTTACTTTAATTATTTACAGATTAATGATGACATGTACAGGCTCAGCAGTTCTCATGGTACAGTCTGGCAGCAACAGAAAAACCTGCGGAACCTCGATTGTGCTGACAATTGATAATAAATATTTTGAATTGAAAATGTATTGTGCTTTCACGTAATTTATAAGTAACTTAAAAATAACTGATAATGAACAGTCTCCATCAAATAACATTTCAACTTTCATCTGTCTCTATAGAAATAAGGTGCTGAAGGACTCATGTGCTCGTGGGATTCTTGCGGTACTGCAGAGTGCAGACTAAACAAGACTAAATTCACGTGGGCTACCCAGAAAATTTCCCCATAGAACTCAATGTAAACTAAACAGCTCAACCTCAGCTGACAGAGAACCTAGAGCTTTCACAAAGTTCAGATTTTGTGGGGATTTTAGTGTCGCTTGTCATCCTGAACTTTTTTTTTTCTTAAATCCTTCGGTTTTCTTTATATCCACACTTTAGTGCCTTAAACTCAGCTCTAACCCCCGCTCTAGCTCCGCTCGTATCAGCAGCTCTGATTGGTCAAAGCGCGGCCGAGCCCCTCTGTGCAAGTGCATGAGAGTCTCAAACGCGTATTTGGCGCAACCATAGACTGTAAATATTAATGGACGTAGTCACGTTTATCTCCGCCGTTCTAACTAATGTGCCACAACTTCTGCGGTCTATGGGCAGTTTCAAAATGGCCGCGGGGGCTGGAAAGTGTGAAAAAACGCATCTGCGCATGCGTCAGCCGGCACGAGCCCCATTCATTTAACGAGTGCCTTCAAAAATTCACAGCGACTAAACTAGAGTGGTCCAAAAAAATTCACTCCCCTCAGCATTAACCAGAGCTGGCGCTTCCTATACGCAGACTACGCACTATGCGTAGGGCCCCGCAGCTGGAAGGGCCCCGGAGTGCGGACTCTTTTTTTTTTTTTTTGTGATCGCTCTCACTCGTGCAATTACGAGGCCCTTCTTATCCGGGATCACCCAGTTGATTGGTTTTTAAAGTTGTCACTTGCTATCTCCCGTGATCCTCATACGTTACGTCCTTACGTCGCACATTCAACCCTCCCCTCCCCCCACCCTGTTGTTGTCAGTCGCGCAGCCACAGCAGAGGCTGAGACGCTGAAGCGGAGTGATGAAAAAAGGAAAAAAAAGACCGCGAACTGCGGGAACAACAGTTGGGTAAAAGACGTGTGGTGCCAACCCGACGCATTAACGTCTGCAAAGAAAGTTAAATATTGTGTCTGACATGTTTTCTTTCTGATTTTAACGAGTCCCAAAACAACTTCATCAGTCAAGCTCTTTCTTGTGGTTAAGGTGGGCACCTTCAAAATAAACGCGCTTCCTTTGGTAATCGGAAGTATTAGTACCATTATTTGAGCCAGAACCCCAAGCCCACCTCAAGACTTTCACCATCGACTCCCACTGTCTGCTGTCGTTGTGTCCTTGGCAGCAAAGACACCTTTGCGGCTACAGTAGTAGCTCATCACCACTGTGTATGGAGTCTTTGAGGTGTCCAAAAAAGAGCTATATAAAAACCGATGCATTGATATTATTATAGTTTGGCACTCTACAGCCGCAGCCGCCCCACTGAGTGGGGCACATGTTCCCAGAGGATCAAAGTTATAACCAGGCTCTACTGAGCTTCAGAGGTGTCCTATCACAATACTGACCAGGCCATGCCCTGCTGAGACAATAATAATATGTTCTCCTATAACCTGTGTTCCCCTGTTAGAAGTACATGTTTGGCAAACATAATTGAACCACCACTTGTTTACTTTGATCCTTTGGTTGTCAGAGTCAGTGTCAGATTGCTAGTTGACCTATGACTTCGGTGAGTTGACCTCTGACCTTGGCAGCTCTTGCCGTCCTCGTCGAGTCGTTCTCCTGGAGGACACCTGCAGTAGAAGCTCCCGATGGTGTTAGAGCACACAGCCTCACAGCCTCCGTTTTTCTCCTCACACTCATTCACATCTGAAACACAGGGACAGGTTTTTAGAGTTTCCAAAGTGCTGCACACAGATACATCAATTACAATACAGTGATGACAGTTCATTCACATGTCTAAAACTTATATGTACAAATCAAAATAAAACATTAGCTATGAATAAAAAATATATAAATACCTGTTCAAAAAAAATAAAATAGTACCCATGCAGCCATCTGATTGGTAAAAATATATTAACCCTTTTCATTGGTTAAACTGATCCCCTTCAGTAAATCTTATTGGTCATATACTTCTGCGTGGAGGCAATGTTTCTGAAATATGTCCTGTTTAGAAATTCAAGTGTCCAGTAGCAGCAAAAATGAAAAAATAAAAGTTGATCATTCTAAAATGCTAACAATAGTAATAATAAGCAACACCCCTTCAGGTCACAGCAGCAGAGATGGAGTAGCCTCTGGATGGAGACGCACGGGTCACAGTAGCAGAGGTGGATTAGCTGCTGGGTTAATACTAGTAACTTATGTGACGGGGTTCTGGATGTGAAATTAAAATGATGGCGCAGCCAGAGTACTTTTCAAGGTTTTATTCCCAAGAATAAAGAATAAGTAATAAGGAATGAAGAATGAAGAATAAAGAGGAGTGCTGTACAGAAAACAAAACAGTGCATAGAAAACATTACACAAAACTATCTATCTATAAAAAGAAGCAAGTATAAATCACTGTATATTCTGATGTAGGAAATATCCATCCATCAATCTTCTTCCCCTTTATCCATTTCTGGGTTGGGAAGGGTGGCAGTTAGAGCTGCACCCAATTCACAGAGCACCAGACCCTCACTGACCCTTCCAGCCTTGATCTTTCAGGCAAAGTGGGGTTAAAGATGCTATATCCGATTTATTTTGTAATGGGTTCATAAAAATGCTTATTACTACATACAAGTTGTACTATAATCTGTAATTTAAATGAAAACTTGAGCTCATTGATTCAGCTTGTGTATGAATTCAGGCCGTATAAAAGTGCTGAGTAGAGGCTCTCCTCCACTCACAGAACGAGGATGCGTCTTCTAGCCCCTGCACCGCTGCTAAACACAGTAGCATGTGTTTAGCAGCGAATAGAAAAATTGGCTATAACTCTTCTTGCTGTTACTGCATACACAACAAATCAGCCCAAACAACACAACAGTAAGGAGGGAACTAAAGCAAAAAAAATGATCAAAGAAGAAATCAAGCCCGGGTGAACATAGCTAGCGTTAGCTTACATCGTATACTCTGGAGAGACTTGTCTATGGGAGAGACTTGCGGGACTGCCTCGGACTACATTCGGACGCGAAACTAGCGGTAATCTTTCAGTTTTATATTTTGTTAGCAGTGCGTTGCTTTTGTACCATTTCATCAGTGATTGTTGAACAGCTTAAGTTGCGCTAATGCTAATTTTAGCATATAGATCGCAAGTAAAATCAGATGGCTCCGTGGAATGAGAGCGTAGGGGGAATGAGAAGCCTGTGAGCGAGTTGGGGGGCGGTGCTAAACATTCAAACCTTGCAGAAATGGGAAAAGCTCCTTTAAGTGTCTTGCCCAAGGACATAACGACAGCAAACATCAGTGGGAGTTGGTGGTCATGTGGTGGCATTGGACCCACGACCTTCAGGCTCTAACGCCAATGCTCTACCAACTGAGCCACTATCGCCTCGTAAGAAAGACTGTATATAGTATGTGTACATCTTTACATGTTATCAGCGTGAGGGTATGGAACAAAGTGTCTGGTAAAGTGACAATGGACACATGTTGTTTCATATGGAACATTCCAACATCAGTTCAAATTATTGCACAGATGTGAGGTCAGGTCGGCAGTGTTTGTTGTACAGTCTGACAGCAGCAGAAAAAAAAGGACTATGTGTTTGTTATTATTGCAATTCTTGTGTTTCAATTGTTTGATTCTCTGATCTGTTGTTGGTGAATCCACAACTTTGGAAAGTCTGCTTTTGTTAGTTAGGGCAAAACACAAATACATTAAAATTAAATTATTCACATTTGCCTGAGCTTAAACTCAATGGACTCAGAAGCACGGCTGCGTCTACGAAGCATAATGGGGAGGACAGGGGGAGAAAGGGGGAGATGGGGGAGACAGGGGGAGTGGAGCTGCGTCTTCCCAGAGAAGGCTCCTGACCCGCTCCTCTCAGGGGGAAGAGGGGGGATGTGTTTTAGGCTCAGATCAGACACCCCACACATAATAATAATAATAATAAATCTTTATTTGTAAAGCACTTTTCAAAAACAATGTTAACAAAGTCCTGCACAGTCAGCATAATAAACAATAAATCAGTCATAATACAAAGTTAAAACAATAAGATAGAATACAAGAAGACAAGACACACAGAGGAAACACAAGAAGACAAAACAAAGACAGGACAGACCATAAATATGACATTATAAGCTTAAAGCTGACAAGTTTAAAAATGACTCTTAACTTCCTACTTCTCAACCCGGAGAAGACAGAAGTGATCCTACTCGGTCCGAAGCGCCTGCGTGACACCCTCACTAACCAGATAATCACTCTCGATAATGTCAGTATTGTACCCAGTAACACTGTGAGGAATCTTGGAGTCATTTTTGACCAAGAACTCTCCTTCAAGGCTTATATAAGCCAAGCAACTAAAACGGCGTACTTCCACTTACGGAACATCGCTAAAATCAGGAATTTCCTTCCTAAAAGTGAAGCGGAAAAATATATTCACGCTTTTGTCACCTCAAGACTTGACTACTGTAACGCTTTATTGGCAGCGTGCCCTAAAGCCTCTTTGAAGAGCTTCCAGCTCGTTCAGAATACAGCAGCTAGGATCTTAACAAGCACCAAAAGGAGGGAGCACATAACTCCGGTGTTAAAATCACTCCACTGGCTCCCTGTGGAGTACAGAATAAAGTTTAAAATCCTTCTCTTAACATATAAAGCCATAAATGGCTTGGCTCCTTCCTATCTCCAAGACACGTTAGTGTCGTATCAACCAAGTCGAGCGTTGCGCTCACAAAACACCAGACGTCTAGTGGTCCCTAAGGTCTCAAAAATCACTGTCGGCGGCAGAGCATTTAGCTACCAAGCTCCTTTACTGTGGAATCAGCTTCCCATTTATGTTAAGGAAGCAGATACAGTCTCCACGTTAAAGGCCAGGCTTAAAGCACTCTACTTTAATTTAGCATATAATTAGGTAATATATAATATATGGTGTATATATTATATATATATGCTGTATTATGTTATATATTATACAATATATGTATTATGTTGTGTATTGTGTTATGCTGTATATTATGTTATATATTATGCTGTAAGTTATGTTATGTATTATATATAATATATATAGTATGTATGATATATGTGATATATATGATATATAATATAGAATTAGATTTGCCTGGATCGGTTTGCACACCTGGTGTGCAATCCATGAATCTTGGTGCTGTGGCCTAGGCTAGCCTAGCCGTGGCTGCTGCCGTCTCACCTCCTTGCAGATACGCTCTCTTTATTCAAGGCTAGGTTTAAAACAGTCCTCTTTAGTTTAGCATATGGCTAGGAAGGTAATACTCAGGGAAGGCTAAACTCCTCAGACTGTCAGTCAAGCTGCATAGGGAGTCAGTTTGCTGGGAGAAGTATGGTAACTTGAGCAATATCCCTCCTCCTTCCTACTTTATCTGTTTAGCATTATTAGGATTTTGACTGTAGTTTGTTCATTGCTATTCACCCGTTGTCCCATTGTCTGTTTCATGGTACGATGACGGGATCTCTGAGCCTGGCCTCCTCCATCTACACCTGCGGACTGCCCCACCCGACCCGCCTGGGAGTGCTTCAGTCCTGCACCGTACCTGTCCACGTTCAGCGGCCACTGGTCCACGTTCTGTAGCTAGCTTAGGTCCTAGATCATTAGCCTGTCCGTCCGGAGGAGCGGATCCCTTTCTTAAATGGGTCTCCCTGTGGGTTTCCCTAGGTCTCCCCAAGGTTTCTCACTTTTTCCCACTGGGTTTTTTAAGAGTTGTTCCTTGTCGATGCAGGAGGGTCTTGTTGGACAGTTAGTGTCCAACAGAAAGGATTGTTGATGATCAGGACACTTTAGCATTCTACAACATGTATGGACATTTTCTTCTGTGTGTGCTTTATATTTTTCATGTGTTTTAACTGTTGATTCTCTGATCTGTGTTGGTGATTTCAATGGTTTTGTTAAGTCCTCTGAGATGACTTCTGTTGTGACCTAGGGCTATACAAGAATAAATTGTATTGTGTATTGTAATTGTAATTAAAAGCTTTATAATAAAAGTGGGTTTTAAGAGGTGATTTAAAAGAGGATACTGATGGTGCTAGCCTTATCTCCTTGGGCAGGTCTTTCCAAAGCCGAGGAGCCCGGACAGAGAAGGCTCGGTCACCTTTCGTCCGGAGCCTCGACCTTGGAACAGTCAACAGGGACCTGCCCGAGGATCTAGGGGGTTAAAAGTTCATAAATAAAGCTGGGTGCCAGACCTAAACGAGCTTTAAAAGTAATCAGTAAAATCTTAAAATCAATTCTTAAACGCACAGGGAGCCAGTGGAGGGACGCTAAAACAGGGGTGATGTGCTCCCTTCTGTTAAAACCAGTGAGAAGTCTGGCTGCTGCGTTCTGAACCAGTTGGAGGCGGGAGAGGGATTTAGCGTCGAGACCGGAGAGGAGGGAGTTGCAGTAGTCGAGGAGAAGATGAGGGCGTTGACAACTTTATGGAGATCGGGAGGAGTGAGAATGTTTTTAATCTTTGAGATGGTGCGGAGGTGAAAGAAGCAGGTTTGGGTGTTTTTTTTATGTGGGAGCGGAAGGTGAGGTGAGAATGAAAAATGACACCGAGGTTACGGGCGGAGGGAGTGATGTTTGAGGACAGGGGGCCGAGGTAGGTTTGGATGTGGGATATTGATGGGGGCGGGTTGATGAGGAGGACTTCGGATTTGGATGTGTTGAGCTGTAGAAAGTTATGGGCCATCCAACAGTTCACATCATTAAAACAGTCGA